CCTGTAAAGAGTGATCTAATGTTTACACTTCCTTTATTGAAAATTCAGTGTAATTTAGAATGTCTAATCTCCTAGTCTGTTAATAGGTTGCTAGAGTCTCCTATGTGTGATTTAAAGTTCAGTTTACCGTTAAATTCTAAATATGTAAGTTATTTTCATGTTGGTTTTGTAAATCACAGCCAGGGAACGTGTGGCTAGGGCTGCATAAACACAAACAAAAGTGATTTAACTCCTAAATGGCAGAGAATTGAGCAGTGAGACTGCGGGATTATGATCTATAAACTAAACCTGTTTCATTCAGCTGAAGTTGTTTTGGTGGCTATAGTATCCCTTTAAGTGTGTTGTTGGTAACCTTTGTATTTTTCGCAAGAATATTGGGCTTACGAGCTGCTGCCACCACTTGTTTGTGATTTTTGACACATACTCACAAAACAAAGGGCTATTATTTTAAAGATATTGGTGCACCTTCTCTCAGACCCATGTGGAATCCTTGTACACCATGGAATTAAACATAATCACCTATATTTTTTTTTTCTTTTAAGCTGTTTTCTTTTTAAATGTTATATTCGATTTAGCAAATAACATCGCAATCCTGTTCAGTCCAGGCATAGCAGTGGCACACATTGCAAATTAGAAGGAGAAATAGAAAGGTTGTTTCATTTCTCCTATTCTCTGGAGGCTCTCTATGATGACTGCCAGCGGCAAAGGACAGAGCTCCTTTTAATGACCGGGAAACAAAATGGAGGCACCCAGGGGCAGGATAAAGAAGTGTGGATTTCTACATTTCATTTTATTGTTCAGACCTCACCAATGCATATTTTTTAAATAAAGGGAATTTTAAAAAAAAATGTATATAAAATATCCTGGGAAGTGACACTTTTATTTTTAAACTAATTAAAATGTATATATTTATTTCACCTGGTTTCTGTGTCAAATGTTTTCTGTGTATTGTTCAGGATTATAAGTGCCACTTAGTATGTTTGCATGTATGCATTCATTATTTAATTTTTGTTAAATTATGATCTATAGATCATTACCTGTGCCAGGAACTGTGTCAAGCCCCGTTGCCTCCCTCACAAGCTGATCTTATAGTAGTCAGGTAAGCTATATATATATATATATATAAACAAACATGTGTTGCAGTATATAACCCTTTTCAAAGTTGTAATTGCCATAGAATTGTGAGTGTGAAATGTATTGTGAGTTTTGGTTAAGTGTCCCTTCTCCAGCGAGAGCTGCTGTGTTCCCTGAGTATTCAGTCAGTCTGTCTAGCTGTTTGGATCACTGGCAGCAGCTCAATATGCACTGCTTAGGGGAGTGGCACAGACTGATGAATTAAGAAAGAAAAGTGGAGGGAATAAATACTAGACATGTAGAAAACTTTGGTTTGTCCATAACCTAATGGATTCATTTACGAACTGAGTCCATGTCGAACAGCCATTACAAGTTTGTAAAGCAGCAATGCTTCAATATACTAAATCAAAAATAACTTTTCAAGACAGTCGTAAAATCTTCAATATCCATTTCTTCAACAGAGAGATACCACGTACATCGGAAGCTCCTGCATCTCCGGTTTTGGAGAATTTCACTGCCTTAACAGCTGAGGAAGTCCGAAAAGGACATGCAGACTCTGCCGTAAAAGAGGACTATGAATCGCCCATTTCTCAGCCACAGGTTCCAAGAGATCATGGAGTAGTTCCCAAATGGCTGAAATTACCAGGTAACATTCTCATGATTATATACAAAAGTAAAAATTGTCAGGAATGTTTCCATCAATTTTGGCCCAAAATTGAAATTCACTTTAAATTCCTAGTCATTTTCATGTTCGTAAATGATCCCGTCTGTGTTTGACTAGGTTTGAGTGAGAACATGCTGCCACATGGAGGTGTGAAGGTGTACTCTATTTACATAGCTTGTGTGTGCCTGATTCTCTCATCTCTTCCTCAGGGAAAAAGTGAGGGACGTTTGAACTCCCAAGGATTGTTTCACCCCTTGCATTAGGACGTCTGGGTGCCATGCTTTTCTGCTGACGTTTCTTTGGTTGATTGGACTTTATTATATTATGAATCGCAGATGTGTGTTCCGGGGTTCTTGTTTTACTTCTCACTACAGCTGTGCTGAAGTCTGAGTCCTTTAAATCTGGCTCATCTAGCAATAAAATAAGAAATAAAATAATTCACAACCGTTTCTTCATCTGTTAATATACACATAGCCATGCTTATTATGGTTCCGTGTCGTGGCTAAAAAGGACGGCAACATCCTGATCAGTGGAAAAATTCACTTTTGTGGAAGAACATGCCTCTTTTTTTTTTTTTAAATGGAGTTGTTTTCTAAGAGCATTTGGGTAATCATCCCAAATGATGTCTCCTTAAGCACAACACGGGCCTTCGTTAACTATGCAGGAGTCAACGTAAAATGTCCAAAGCACTTTGAAGTCAGCTTAGTTGGCTCTGATCACTTTCCACTTCACTGTATTGACTTTGCTAATTACTCATCTACCAACAACCAGGAATCTCCACTGAAAGGGACCTTTTACCTAAAGCTCGTCTGCACTCCCCGTTTCCTACACTCCTTGCTTTCTTTGGCTCCTTACTTTCCTGGGTTGAAATTGGCCCTTTGTTGGCACAGCCTCCTTAGAAAGGTTGTCTAAGCCACACATGAGATGCAGGGCTCTGATAAAAGGGACAATCCTTTCCATTTATATAACCAGCAGGGAATTAAAGGTTAGCCTTTGCTTTCTCACAAGACACCTCTGTCTACAATCTTATCACTCCATTTCCTCTGCCTGTTGAGCACATTGGAAAACAATGTTTCTAGAAAAGCTTAGGGAAGCACTGTTGCCCCTTTAATTAGTGTTTATCTGCTTAATGATATGCTTAATTGTGGCAAGTGCTAACACCCTTATGAATGTGGAAAGTTAATTGGGATTCTGCACCTTTTTATCAGTTGCTGTTTGCGGTCCCTCCCTGCAAACAACTTAATATCAACTGACTGAGCATCAAAGTAACACCTGTCTGGGGAATGTTTGCTTAATGACTTCCAAGTACTTTGAAAAGTTGATAGGGCGGGTATGCTGGAGGAGTTAGAGAAGGGACACAATGTTACCAGAAGGTAAGGAGGGGGGTGGATGTTGTAGAGGTGATAATATATTTTACGTTTGGGCTGGTGAGGAAGAAAGCTGGATGATGGCTAATAAACCATTTGTGACATTGAGACGGCTAGGTCTATCTGTTTTGGGAAGTGTTTTTCAAGATGCGGTTGACAGTTTTGTGTTTTTTTTTTTTTTCCTCTTTCACAATGTGCTCCATAAACTTCTTTGAAGAGTGGCCAGAATTCCAAATGATTAGCAGTATGTTCTCGAAGAGATTTCATAATCACATTGTGGGTTGGCTGAACCATTCACCATGACAGCCCATGAACCTTTCAATCCTCCAGCAATCACTACTAATTGTAAGGTATATACAGGTCATATATTCCATTCTGCACAACACCCATGGAACTAACTTTCCCGTAATAAAGTAAATATAACAAAGCCTTAACCTTTCAGGCAGACAGAACCTAACTTTGTTTTGAATTAATTTTCGGTCGGTAAATAATATTTGGCACTTGTGACCATATATTTCTCTTATATTACCAGACAGATTTGTCATTTCCATAGCCCCAACCCCAGTCCAGGTAAAATTAATAGAGTGCTTGAATTGTGCAGTTAATGGTCTGTAGTCAAACTTTGTTAGGAAACTTTCCATTTCACACCCAGAGTGCAACAAACGCCCACAGCAACATTTACAAACTTAAAGGGACACTACAAACAATCAATAGAACTTAGTGGAGTGGTTGTGTTGCAAGGACTTGGTACAGGCCATCCAGTTTGTATTAATATTTTGCAAGCATTACTAAGGCTAATAAGAAGCTGGATTCAGTCGTGCCTCAAACTTCTGGTGCTGCTAAACTGACGCGGGTGCAGAATCCCAATAGTAAAAAATATCAGAATATGTTGTGATAGTCGGTATTATTTAGCATTCAATGCTTCGCTTTGCAGTTCTGTCAACGAGTTCCACCTCCGGCATATCCACACCTAATCTTTAACCATTAAAATATATAGCTGTACTCTATGGGATCCTCTGTTGCTTACCACGTCTTCACATGATCCCATAATGAGGCCTAAATGCAGCTGTCAGAATTCTAATATTAAATTAAACAAAGAGAGCCCTCCTCTAAACAAGACTTTATCAATACACTGCCGTTACAGTTCCCTGAAATAATGCACAATACGAAAATGGCACACATAGTATTAAGCAAATATTAATTAAATCAAAATATTTCATTTAGCTGTAATAAATCAAACTTGTTTAATACGGAGTGTGCTGATTTCTCACCCCTATGCCTTGAATATAAAATATGGTATCTAGAGAATAAAATACTTAAACAAGTAGCGGTTGTAGGCAGGTGAATAGAAGCTAATTAAATCCAACCACAAACTCACTCAGCCATCTAGAACACCCCCTTCTACTCTAGTGTGTGATGGACCCGTTACATATTGCACCCCTGCCCAAGTCTAATGTAAATAAAGCAGTCACTCGGGACACAACACTCTACTCCAGAAATGCTAGTTTTGGCTGGAGTAGAGATGAACCGACGGAAAAGGCACAGACATCCTAATGGCGTGTTTATTGCTGGTTCTAGGGTGGCGATGCTGGTGATGAGGAGCTGGGAAAACTTATGACAAGGTATTAGCTCTTGGCTGACAGTGCTTTCATTTTTTTTTTTCTTCTCCTTTATAAAAAAAGTTGGGAGTCTGCTCCATCAAACATGTTCTAACACTTTTTTTATTGAAGTCATCTCTTAAAAGTCCAAAAAAAAAAAAAAAAAGTTACAGGCTTCCAGACAAGATTAAAAAAAAAAGTCACTATAAAGTCATCTCGAGGAAGGTGGATGACCAAAACTTGTTTCATGTTCAGTCCGCTGTGGCTTGTTATTGGCTTCTATATCCACCACCATACCTAGAAATCCAACAGCTAACAAAAAGTGAGAGGGTTGGTAAGTGGTAGCTGCTCGAGGCTTTAAGGAAATGGTATGGGTGATGGGTGGGCAATATAACTTACCAACTGGGGTAGGATTTTCTCTACATGTTCTATGTCAACCACTGCTAGCTCTTCTCCTTTTGCTTGCCGCGCAGCTCTCGCAGCTGCTTCTTCAAGACAAAGGAAAAGCAAATGTCAGTGCGTGACCAGGTATACCCCGAATTTAACCCAAGAGCGAGGACTGTGATTCTAACATGGTTATACCCCCCCACAATTTGCTGAACTACAATTCCCATGATTCTCTGACCATCTATTCCATTCAAAGAATTCTGGAAGTTGTAGGCAATAATCAGGCAAGACTTGAGGTTCCTGTTCTAACTCTTTTTAGAGAAGTTACCCTAGATGTTTCTGGACTATTTCTTATGACACTCATCAACATCTGGGGTGCCTGTGTTATCAGGTGGTGCTGTGCCCCTTAGTGTAAAGCGAGCACATATTGAGTGAAGTATGTGACTCACCATGACCCCAGTGATCTGTGAAATGTAATACGCTTTTAATTGGTACACCTGCACAGCAGCATATTGCTAACAGCCACCACCTGTAGTAACGTTTAACCTTTGGCCCTCCAGCTGTGCTGAACTATGGTCCATTTAACATTCTACTGGCCAACCCCATGCAGTAGCGTAGTACTCCAGAGGTAGACTGGCTGTGGCAAGCTATCCCTGCATGAAGCGCCAACATATTAAAATAGCCATGTAGGATGTATATTCTCTAAAACTTATTAGAGAACACATTTTTAATAATCGTAAGACAACCTGCTAATCTGTTGTTCTTCAGCCACAAAACCGCGGCACACAGATTTAACAGGTACCTTGTAATGGTAGTTTGTTTATTAAAAAATGCATTTATGTCCTTAGACTATTTTAATGATTCCAGCATTAGCTGTACAATAGGTTCACACAGTTCCTTTATCCCACCCTAACCATGCATGATTGAAGTAGCACAGGGAATGATACAGACAGTTACTACAGCCTGCATCGGAGACTGTTCCTATTCAGGGTTCCATGTGCCCTCTACTGGATGAAGTTAGTAATACGGAAAACAGCTAACCTACACTATCCTGGGAGAAATACAGTCTGTTGTGCTAAATACAGTAAAGCACAGTCTCACAAAACAGACTGATGGGCAGTGGGGTTTGAGGCCATGCCTGCAAAATTTAAAGACCAAAAATAAGCTTACACAATTGCTTCAGGTTCTGGAAAGTCTCAGACCCATGGGGGAGTTTTCTATTTTTAATACTGTGTACAAGAGAAGGAGGTGAAAGGGAGCACACAGTCGGTGGACGTGGGTAATGATGATCCCCTTGAAGACAGATTTTTATGTCTGTTGGCAGTGTGCGCTGACTAAATTAATTTAGTTTTTTTTATGCTCAGAAATGACAATCCTGAAAAAAGAGCTTTGGGCTGCCCAAGTCACTTGTGCTGAGGGTGCAACTAGCCACCAGCACACAATAAACAGTAACTATGTATGTGCAGTGGTTCAAGCTGAAACACTACACATACAGACTCATATCACAATGACCACTTCAGATCACTGAAGTGGTTGAGGTACCCTTTAAAAGGGTTAAAGGCAACCCCCCTTTGTAGCATTTAACTTATACACAGCCATTTACCAGTAACAGATTTTTATTTTTTTACATAAATAATAAAAATAGCATTTGTAGGAAGCTCACCATGAGAATCTGTATATTTTCCATGTACCCTTGCTGCCCTGAAGGATTACCGTTAGTCATAGTTAGTTTTGGACAGAGTGATATATCAGACTTGGTTTAGTATTGAGCAGTATTCTGTATCAGGTGCCTGCATTCTAGGATAGGACATACTGATTTACTTACCTTGCACAAAAACGTTCAGCATCTCCGTAATAAGAACCAATGCATCTGCACTGACTGAAAAGAGGACAGTTGTTAAAGTGCGGTGATTGATATAAGGTCACCTCTGCCATGACTATTACAAACATTGTTTTTAGCAGAAACCTGTATAGGTTGGAGTTAAACAAGAGTTGCAGTTTGACATCTCCAATCTACACAATTGCATAACGTTTAAACTAAGGATCGTACGATATTCCCAATTCTTTTTTATTTTTAATGTTTTTTTTTTGTTTTGTTTTTTTAATAAGCATCGGCCGATAATCACCAGTAATACCGATAAGGCACAAGAAGCGCCTTAGGGCGCAATGGCCCAGGGGGCGCTAGATTGGAGAGACCAGCAGGAGGTGGGCGCACAGCGCTCCTTCCTGCCAAGCACTCTGGTAGCATGGCCGAGCAGAGCAGTGCGCACCGTGGTACAGGAAATTATGTTTCCTGTACCCGGCTGGACTGAAAGGAAGTGCTCACTGAGAGAGCACTTCCTGTCAGTCTGGCCAGGTAAAGGAGACTGATTCTCCCTTAACCCAGAAGACAAGACAGGGGGAAGTTACACTTTGGGAGAGGGGGGGGAAGGAAAGCACACTTTGGGACAGGGGAAGGAAAGCACACTATGGGACAGGGGAAGGTGGTGGAAGGAAAGCACACTATGGGACAGGGGAAGGAGGGAGAAGGAAAGCACACTATGGGACAGGGGAGGGAGGGGGAAGGAAAGCACACTGTGGGACAGGGGAGGGAGGGAGGGAAAGGAAAGAACACTATGGGACAGGGGAGGGAGGGGAAGGAAAGAACACTATGGGACAGGGGGGAGGGGAAGGAAAGAACACTATGGGACAGGGTAGGGGTAGGAAAGAACACTATGGGACAGGAGAGAGGGAGGAAAAAACACTATGGGACAGGGGAGGGGAGAACATTATGGTTTGGGGGGGGAGGGGGAGAACAGTATGGGAGAACCAAGGTACAAGGAAGGGAAAAGGAACACTGGGGTGGGGGGGCACTAAAAGATAAGGAAGAGGAACATTAAGGGGAATGGGAGGAGGAGTTACTACCGCACATATTTACAAACACACTGATTCCACTACCCAAAACACACACACACACTGCATTTACTAATTAAATACTCTCACTGCATCAACTACACACACAAATATTCTTGAAAACATAAAAAAAATCTGACTGGCATGTATATTTTGTGTATTTAACACTTACCGTATATATTAGAGTATAAGCCGAGTTTTTCAGCACATTTTTTGGCTTATACTCTAGTCAAGGTCTGTATTATGGCAACTTTGCCATAATACAGACCAGGACCGCCAGGCTCGTTACAAGCCCGACGGTCCTGTTGGGGGCTGACAGCGAGCTGTTACTTACCTTCCTGCAGCTCCTGTCAGCTCCCATCTCCTCCGTGCAGCTCCCCTGTCAGCTCCGTTCTGCTTACAGTGTAGTCCCCCACTCTGTAGTCACCTTCCCAGCAGTGTACGTGCGATGATTTGGGGTATATCCCCAGTTTTAGTGGCTGGCTTGCAGGAGCTATCGTGCAGCACGTCCACTCTGCTAGGAAGCTAGGCCCCGCCCCCTTTATTATTATTTTTTTACGTATTTACATATATATAATTATAATATAAAATAAATGTATATTTAATCAATATCATTGTACATGTATTTTGATATTAATATATATTAATATTAAAATACACTTAGACTGTGTGTGTGTGTGTGTGTGTGTGTGTGTGTGTGTGTATATATATATATATATATATATATATATATATATATATATATATATATATATATATGTATATGATCTAAGTATATATTATTTTATTTTTACACTGTTTTAAACACTTTTTTTTTTTTTTCAGACAGCAGGGGGAGGCACTCCACCTGCTTGCATTGCTGTGGACGGCTATGCCGTCCATGTGATTGCGAGGTCCTCACAAGGACCTCACGATCACATGGCCCAGGGAGGACGGAGAGGGACTCCCTGAGATGCCAGGAGAGTCCCCATACCGCGATCGCTGGCGTGGGGTCGCCGGCGACCGGGTAAGTACATAGGACGGCGGGGACGTGCTATGCCGCCCCCCGGCGTTTAGAGCCAGATCCCCAAGGACGGCATAGCACGTCCCCCGTCCTTAAGGGGTTAAGCAAGGAAGACCACAGAGACAAAGTGTTTCCAAACACAGTCAGACCCAATGTGCCTGTATATGGATGAAGGATCCTGTCATATGCTAAATGTAGGGATGAGGTTCTCCAGTTGTCCTTTCAGAAGGTTGGAGTGATGCTTGCGTGCAATTGTAATCAATACAGTGGTGCAGCAAGTGCTCACTAGCTAAATCGGTCATTAAATGCAGAACTTCATTCCTGCAGTTCATTGGATACAAACGGACACCCAATAAACAAGACATAAATCAAAGGTGATGGGAGACCTACTGGTGACTAGACTTGCACACAAATCTTCTTCACCTGCAAAGAATTAAAGGAACACTATAGGGTTAGGAACACAAACATATATTTCTGACCCTATAGTGTTAAAAACACCATCTAGCCCCATCCCGATCCCCTCTTGCCTCCTTAAATACAATAAAATCTTACTTGTATTTAAATCTGCAGCTGCAGCCTCGGACCTGCCTGCTGACATCAGCAGAAGTGGTGACCTGATCCAATCACAATGCTTCCCCATAGGATTGGCTGAGACTGACAAAGAGGCAGATCAGGGGCAAAGCCAGCACAATTCAAACACAGCCCTGGCCAATCAGCTTCTCCTCATAGAGATGAACTGAATCAATTAATCTCTATGAGGAAAGTTCAGTATCTGCATGCAGAAGGTGGAGATACTGAATGTTTGGATGCATTTTAGGCAGCCATGACCCAGGAAGGATCTCTAACAGCCATCTGAGGAGTGGCCAGTGGAGGTATCTCTAGTCTGTAATGTAAACACTGCATTTTCTCTGAAAAGACAGTGTTTACAGCAAAAAGCCTGAAGGTAATGATTCTGGTGACTATAGGGTCCCTTTAATCAAATTTCTTTTAATCTACGCCCAAATTAATCTATGAGTCACGTAAATCCTTGCTTGTTAGATTGGTTGGGTGTGGATTACCAGGAATTTGATTAGTTCATCGCAGGTAAAATTTCTACCAATGACCAGCTCACGTGGGTTCTACAGTAAAAAGAAATACTACAAAGACAAAACAGACTCTGAACTCATTACTGCAGCAATCGATTAATACACCACCGTGGGACAGACTATGGCTTCAATTATTGAATGAGCTTTTCATATGATTCCATATTTCGAAAAATATTTTAAAATTTTTATGTAGATATTTTTACATTTAAAAAAAGTGATTTTAAAGTTTTATCCAAATAAATATTAAATAATTTAAAAAAAGCTTATCCAAGTATATTAAATGGAGTCCTATGTCGGCTAGAAGACCGTTACCTAGCACAATGCCGGCTTACCTCTCACTTTATCTTCTTTAAGGTGCAGTTGGAGCAATTTGTGAACAGTATCCTGTGACAGTAAAAAAACATCAGTATGACAAGCCAAAACAATACAGAAATAGCCGTTATCTGCTGATTCTTGATCATTAATCACATTATTTAGAAAAGCAGTCACCTGAAAAATAAAAAAACAAATCAACAAAAACCCACTTGATCAAAATAGCCACAGACTAGCTCTTTTGGCCTGAATTCTATTATACACTGTGTACGAGTGTATCAGAGCTGCAAAGCAATAAAACTCAGTAACACTCCAGCGTTATGAATACCGGTTTGTATTGTTCCTTTACAGCAGGAATATGCCATGATAGGCAAACCAGATGTGGGCTACATCTCCCTTAAGGGGGTATTATAGTGTTCCCCATAGGAAGACATTACCTTAATGCCATCCAGGAAATGCCTCTACTGGCTGTCTGACTTAGTTCTGCAAGGTAATTACTGCAGTGTCTCTAAAACTGCAATGATTTACATTGCAGGGCTAAGGGGGACAATGTGCTGAAGTGGTTTTGGTGACTACAGTGTCCCTTTATTGCTGTGAAAGCATTAAAGGAGAAATAGTCCCTGCTTTAAAAAGGAACACAGTAGCATTAGGAATAATGTTCTCCTCTGCATTTAGTTTCAGCAATCCAACCTAATCTAAAATAAAAAGGGTTAATTAAAAAAAGGGCGTATTTTACTCTTTTTTTTTTTTTTTTTACAGTCCCTACAGCAGCTCAAACTGCTCCCACAAGTCACGCTGACTGTCTCGTCAAATCCTGAGTACCTTATACAGGGGCACTGGAGACAAGAAGCGCACTCCCCGCTGGCACTGAGCTCCTCTAGCCAAATGGCGGTTAACTTTCAGAATCAAATTTGACCCTGAAATGTAAAAATTGTTACACTATAGGCACATAGACCACTTCAGCTCATTGAAGTGGTCTGGGTGCAGTATACCGGGGATTTAACAATGCAATGGTAACTATTGCAGTTTTTGATAAACTGCAATAATTACCTGCTTAATTGCACTAATAAATATCCTAGTAGTAAACTAAATCCACAGATCAGCCAAAAGTAACACAATGTTTATAGAGCTCGGATATTGGTTTATGTATTTGAATACAGATACAATTTATTTATTTATAAAATATTTTACCAGGAAGGATACATTGAGATTTCTCTCGTTTTCAAGTATGTCCTGGGTCCATAAAATTTACTGAAACTGAAATAAAATGTAGTTTTTTAGAATTTATCTGAAGAACTACATTATGTGTTTAAACTACAGATCAACCGATATTGTATTTTTTTTTTAGAGCTGATACCGGTAATCTGTGAACTTTCAGGCCGATTGTTCTTTTTTTAAGTGGTAAATGCACAAAATATACATGTCCCTTGGTTCTGGGTCAGGCTTCGCCTTCACTCCTCCTCCACCAATGTCAGCTGGCGGGGCGGGGGGTGGCTAATGCGCATGCACAGCAGGCTCTGTGATCGCATTTGGACGACCCCATAGGAATGCATTGAATCAATCCTTTCTTACGGAATGTTGGCGGTCGATGGATATCCGGCGCAGGGAACCAGAAGTCGCCGAACGGCCCGGAAGTCCTTCTAGTGAGGTGGAGTTTACCCGGCAATGTAATTATTGCAGTTATAGGGTTACGGCTCCTGGGACACAGCACCCAGACCAACTCACAGAGAGAAGCACAGAAGTGGTTATGGTATTGTGAGTATCCCTTTAAACAACACACTGAATATATAGGTTACAGGAGCCTTAGCCACACATTGCACAACTACAACTCCCATGATCCTCTGTAAACACGTTATAACACTCGCCTTCCGAAACCCTGAGGAATCGTCTGCCTGCTGCATGCTGGAGTCCTGCTCACTCTCCGCCTCAATCCCAAACATCCTGCCCTCAGCGGCTGACCAATCACAAGGCTGCGCTATGCCCAGTCTGAAAAACTGTCCAATCAAAACATTGCCCTGCTGAGCTCCTGACCAATCACAAGGCTGCGCTATGCCCCGTCTGAAAAACTGTCCAATCAAAACATTGCCCTGCTAAGCTCCTGACCAATCACAAGGCTGCGCTATGCCCCGTCTGAAAAACGGTCCAATCAGATCATTCCCACGCAGAGCTCCTGACCAATCACAGGGTGTCAGAATGGTGAAAGTTCTATAATGAACTGGAGTCTCCAAGTTCTAAACACTCGAGAAGCATAGAGGTCTCTGCTGTGGAAGCCTCAGGCCAATACAAACGGCCATTTGCATGGCGACCAAAGTACATTGCGTCCTACGCAGATTGCTCCAACATAATGGCTGCTGTGGAGGAGACACACAGGGCGACCGTTTAGTTATTACAAGTTGTCATAGAAATAAGAATTTGGTGTGGGGATTTAGTGGTGCATTGTGGGAGTTAATCCTGGCACCAGGTCCCGACATGCCTCACTCTTCCTGGATACAGCTTGTGTACCCGGAGTTACAGTAACGGTAAGTAGCACTTACTCCACATCTCACCGGGAGACTCTGGGAGTTGGGGACATTTTCTGGGAAATTGGAATTCTGTCATTATTAGGGTCTGGTGTCAATATCTACTGTGTATTGTATCCCCTGCCATGTACTCTCACCAACTGTCACTGTCTGTATTATAATAATCATATTATATCATATCTCTATACACTGTCACTGTCTGTATTATAATAATCATATTATATCCAGCTCTCACTCTATACACTGTCACTGTCTGTATAATAATAATAATAATAATAATAATAAATATATTATATCCAGCTCTCACTCTATACACTGTCACTGTCTGTATAATAATAATAATAATAATAATAATAATAATAATAATAATAATAAATATATTATATCCAGCTCTCACTCTATACACTGTCACTGTCTGTATAATAATAATATCATATCTCTATACACTGTCACTGTCTGTATTATAATAATATATTATATCCAGCTCTCACTCTATACACTGTCACTGTCTGTATAATAATAATAATAATAATAAATATATTATATCCAGCTCTCACTCTATACACTGTCACTGTCTGTATAATAATAATAATAATAATAATAATAAATATATTATATCCAGCTCTCACTCTATACACTGTCACTGTCTGTATAATAATAATAATAATAATAATAATAAATATATTATATCCAGCTCTCACTCTATACACTGTCACTGTCTGTATAATAATAATATCAGATCTCACTCTATACACTGTCACTGTCTGTATAATAATAATAATATCAGCTCTCACTCTATACTGTCTGTACTGTCACTGTCACTGTCTGTATAATAATAATATGATATATCACTATAATCCAGCTCTCACTCTATACACTGTCACTGTCTGTATAATAATAATAATATATTATATCCAGCTCACTCTATACACTGTCACTGTCTGTATAATAATAATATCAGATCTCACTCTATACACTGTCACTGTCTGTATAATAATAATATCAGCTCTCACTCTATACACTGTCACTGTCTGTATAATAATAATATGATATATTATATCCAGCTCTCACTCTATACACTGTCACTGTCTGTATAATAATAATAATATATTATATCCAGCTCTCACTCTATACACTGTCACTCTCTGTATAATAATAATATATTATATCCAGCTCTCACTCTATACACTGTCACTGTCTGTATAATAATAATATCATATCTCACTCTATACACTGTCACTGTCTGTATAATAATAATAATAATATATTATATCCAGCTCTCACTCTATACACTGTCACTGTCTGTATAATAATAATATCATATCTCACTCTATACACTGTCACTGTCTGTATAATAATAATAATATATTATATCCAGCTCTTACTCTATACACTGTCACTGTCTGTATAATAATAATAATATATTATATCCAGCTCTCACTCTATACACTGTCACTGTCTGTATAATAATAAAATATATTATATCCAGCTCTCACTCTATACACTGTCACTGTCTGTATAATAATAATATCATATCTCACTCTATACACTGTCACTGTCTGTATAATAATAATAATAATAATATATTATATCCAGCTCTCACTCTATACACTGTCACTGTCTGTATAATAATAATAATATATTATATCCAGCTCTCACTCTATATACTGTCACTGTCTGTATAATAAAAATACTAATATATTATATCCAGCTCTCACTCTATACACTGTCACTGTCTGTATAATAATAATAATAATATATTATATCCAGCTCTCACTCTATACACTGTCACTGTCTGTATAATAATAATATCATATCTCACTCTATACACTGTCACTGTCTGTATAATAATAATAATATATTATATCCAGCTCTCACTCTATACACTGTCACTGTCTGTATAATAATAATAATATATTATATCCAGCTCTCACTCTATACACTGTCACTGTCTGTATAATAATAATATAATATATTATATCCAGCTCTCACTCTATACACTGTCACTGTCTGTATAATAATAATATCATATCTCACTCTATACACTGTCACTGTCTGTATAATAATAATATAATATATCCAGCTCTCACTCTATACACTGTCACTGTCTGTATAATAATAATATCATATCTCTATACACTGTCACTGTCTGTATAATAATAATAATATATTATATCCAGCTCTCCCTCTATACACTGTCACTGTCTGTATAATAATAATAATAATAATAATAATATATTATATCCAGCTCTCACTCTATACACGGTCACTGTCTGTATAATAATAATAATAATAATATTATATCCAGCTCTCCCTCTATACACTGTCACTGTCTGTATAATAATAATAATAATATATTATATCCAGCTCTCACTCTATACACTGTCACTCTCTGTATAATAATAATATAGTATATCCAGCTCTCACTCTATACACTGTCACTCTCTGTATAATAATAATAATAATAATAATAATAATATCAGATCTCTCCCTGATATACACTGTCACTACCTGTCTGTCTAATAATAATGATGATAATATCAGATCTCTCCCTCTATACACTGTCACTGTCTGTCTAATAATAATATCAGATCTCTCTCTATACACTGTAACTATCTGTCTAATAATATCAGATCTCTCTAGATCTCACTGTCTGTCTAATAATACTAGATCTCTCTCTCTATACACTATACAATTTGAAGAAATTGCCAACTGTGTCTTTACATGTTAGGGAACAGGGGTACCATTAGAAGCAATCCATGGGGACTCCAGAAATGGACGAACTACAGAGATCCTATGTGAGGCTGTGCCATGAGAGGGGATCAGAACCCCAGGAGGCCGTGCTGAGGCAGCTGGAGGGTGCCAGGGAAACAGCAGGAGGAGGGAGGCTAGACTTGTCCACGCAAAGCCTCTCCATGGACTCATGTGAAGTGCTGGGGATCCTGCTGCAGAATGATGTGACATTTACCCACGTGACCTTGAATGACTGCATGCTGAGCGAAGAAGGTAGGTACCTCCACAGCCGTCTGCCATCCTTATTTCCTATCTGCCTATATTGGGAGGCATGCTCACCCAGCCACAACAGGTTGGCCATCATTGTACTTGGGGACAACATGACAAATGATGATCGACATTGTCTCATATTTCCAGATACTGGTTCTAGAGCTTATCTGTGTATAACTGAATATGTCTCTTCATTGTCAGGATCCAAACTTCTTCTTCATGGCTTGCGTTCCAATTCTGTAATAAAGCACCTTGACTTGAAGGTTAGTAAGTAGCATTTCAAATCTCAACTTCAGCTCCTGGTTGAATGGATGGACTACGTGAGAACATTCTCATATCTTTTCAGGGCAATAATTTGCGAGCTGAGGGTGCTGAGGTTTTAGGAAAATTTTTGAGACACAACTCGTCGTTGATCAGGTATGGGATTAATCAGTCTCAGACTGAACTGTGCTTTTTCCTATTTGTCTGACATTGTAAATGTGAAACGTGTCCAGAGACATATCAAATATGCAACTTTAAAGAAACACTCTGGGCCTCATAACAACATATTCTCAATGAAGTTGTAATGGTGATTGTAGGTCCTGGACGCTGTCTTGCTTTAAGGTTTACACCGCTTTCAAGTGGTTAACCCTATAATTGTTAAGACGGTGCTTGTAACCTTAGTCCCTCTTTTTCCTCAATTACTGGCTTCGATGAGTAAGTCTCAGACTGGGCGCCGGTGATTGGCTAAAACCTCCTTTGATTGGGAAACGCCACCTACGTGTTAAACCATTCAAAAATGATTTAACAAATAAAGGAAAAAAATGTGCCAGTGTGCTTCGCGCACCATATTGACATGAAGTAGTCTTAGTGATGGCATTGTCCCTCAAGGCTTCCAGGCAATAGACAGCCTGTAACTTCTCTTTAATAAGATAGGTTAGATAGATAGATAGATAGATAGATAGATTAATCAAAGGCTCTGCAGGGTGTGAGATTTTACAGTTGAGATGCCTAAATGTCTAGTTCCGATGTAAACTAGCTGACTTCAGCCATATGGCCTCTGCCTCTTAATTGATGAGTTAATTTCTTTGATATGTTAATGATAATTAGCCTTGTGTTCAAGTATCATATCCAAAAGAAACATTAATATGTACCCACAGAATAAAAATCAAGCCTCATTTTTGTTATATTTAGAATGGGACAAGCACCATCTTCTAAACAAGCCCAAACATGATTGGCATATGGGAAGGGATGGGGATGTCTGCTATATCGGGTCAGAAGTGTGACATATCTATGGAATGGAGAAGTGGTAACACATTCATAGATGCAATTATTATTTCTGTGGCAAGTACAAAAGAGGAGATAGACGAAAAAGTTTCTATTTGGATTGATGTGGGTCTCAAACACAAGGGGGTGTCTCTATAGATACGCCTCAACTCCACCTCTAGGCCAGGCTTGGTAATCCACAGGGTATATATCCAATGATACTGAAATGTGTATTGGACTTGCTTGGGGGCAGAATCTAATTTTGAGTGAGTCACCATCTTTCCTACCAAGACATCCTGGGCAGAAGTTTTTACTTTGAAAACCTGAGTAAGTGATTAGAACTTCTGTTATTTCATCCCTTTTGTTTTTATCTGTTGTTGGTGTAAGTAATTTGATTGACATGTATATTATTGTATGCACTGTGACTATTTTTTGCTCATAATAAATATTCCTTTATTAAGTTCTGCCTTTGTCTGGTAAAGAATCAAGTTACCTGAAGAGATTAATAATGAGTGTTTTGCAATTGCTTAGATATTGTACATAATATAAGTTGTATTATTCAGTTACCTGGGGGACCAAGGCACCCCATTTATAAATTGTCTTGGTGGTGGCAGCGTTAAATAGTAATATTTATATTATTATGCTTAAGTGTGGGTGGTGTTAAGTGGGATTTTATCAATATTTCCGGTCTAGTGCAGACAAATAGTGAACTTTAACCCTTTCACCACCACAACTACGTCACGCACACTCTTGAAGTAGGGTGCGTTCGTGACAAGTAGTATTCCAGCAATGTACAGAGATGGCAGCAGTGAACAGGTTTGTGCATTAACCATAAGTCTATAACCAGAATTGTGGGAAATGTAGTCTAGAAACCCTCTCAGTGCCACGGCTAACATGATCTCTAGAATTATGTCCATTTTTGGTTTCGGACACCAGGTGACTTTCTTCCTTTCCTTCTCTTCAGCTTGACCCTGGAGTGGAATAACCTGGGCATGTTAGACGATGCTTTTTCTATGTTTTGTGATGGGCTCTCCTTCAATCAAACTCTAAAAAAACTGGATCTGCGCAACAACCAGATTAACCACACGGGGGCAGAGGAGCTGTCTATGGCCCTGAAACACAACTTCACTTTACAAGAACTTGGTAAATCATTATCTGTCATTAATGATGCAGGAGACTCATTACTCTCTCCAGCTCGTTCATCAAAGGAATCCATCCATCTTTAGGCATTGATTCTTTGCTTCTAAAATGGATATTCCAGTGTGTAGATACAGATAGCCTCCTGCACATCTTAGGCATTCTTCAATTCATTTTCAGTAGTTTTTTCCCCCTTGCTGCTTCTACTGGAAGGCTATTCCATGTATCTACTACCTTTTATATATAACAGGCAGCCTTTACCATACCCACTGCTTATATTGTCTCATGTACCTACTACTCCTTCGGTAGTATTGCTTCACATTATCCCACCATTTTCTGACCTTCCAATCCTGGTCCTGTGAGTGTGGGAAGAGACCATGACATGGTGTAGCTATGCAGTGACTGGACCTGTAAGTGTAGGAAGGGGCCGTGACATGGTATGACTGGGCCTGTGAGTGTAGGAAGGGACCGTGACATGGTGTAACTGCCGGTGACTGGATCTGTGAGTGTAGGAAGGGACCGTGACATGGTGTACCTGCCAGTGACTGGACCTGTGAGTGTAGGAAGAGACCATGACATGGTGTACCTGCCAGTGACTGGACCTGTGAGTGTAGGAAGGGACCGTCACATGGTGTAACTGCCGGTGACTGGACCTGTGAGTGTAGGAAGGGACCGTGACATTGTGTAACTGCCAGTGACTGGACCTGTGAGTGTAGGAAGGGACCGTGACATGGTGTACCTGCCAGTGACTGGACCTGTAAGTGTAGGAAGGGGCCATGACATGGTGTAACTGTGCCAGTGACTGGTCCTGTGAGTGTAGGAAGGGGCCGTGACATGGTGTAACTGTGCCAGTGACTGGTCCTGTGAGTGTAGGAAGGGGTCGTGACATGGTGTGACTGGTCCTGTGAGTGTAGGAAGGGGCCGTGACATGGTGTACCTGCCAGTGACTGAACCTGTGAGTGTAGGAAGGGGCCGTGACATGGTGTACCTGCCAGTGACTGAACCTGTGAGTGTAGGAAGGGACCGTGACATGGTATAACTGTGCCAGTGACTGGTCCTGCGAGTGTAGGAAGGGACCGTGACGTGGTGTAACTGTGCCAGTGACTGGTCCTGTGAGTGTAGGAAGGGACCGTGACATGGTGTAACTGCCAGTGACTGAACCTGTGAGTATAGGAAGGGACCGTGACATGGTGTACCTGCCGGTGACTGGACCTGTAAGTGTAGGAAGAGACCGTGACATGGTGTAACTGCTGGTGACTGGTCCTGTGAGTATAGGAAGGGACCGTGACATGGTGTAACTGCTGGTGACTGAACCTGTGAGTATAGGAAGGGACCGTGACATGGTGTAACTGCTGGTGACTGAACCTGTGAGTATAGGAAGGGACCGTGACATGGTGTAACTGCTGGTGACTGAACCTGTGAGTATAGGAAGGGACCGTGACATGGTGTACTTGCCGGTGACTGGACCTGTAAGTGTAGGAAGGGACCATGACATGGTTTAACTGCCAGTGACTGGACCTGTGTATGTGACACACGCCTTGCCTGTCTCTGCTTATTGATGCGTGATGAATTGTTTTTTACAGATCTGCGTTGGAATAACATGGGTTTGCTTGGAGGGAGGGCCATGCTGAGCTGTATGGAAACTAACCGAAATCTGCTGAAGCTGGAGCTGTCTGGGAACAATATCCCTAGTGATATCTTGAAGGCGATTGGTAAGAGACCTGGGATATGGATTTCACGATTCTAAAGTAACCATAGTCAAACGCTACCACGGACAGGGAAGATTAAAGGCAGTGATGGCAAACTGTACAGGGGAAAGCTGGAGCGGGCAGGGTCTGATAGTGGATGGGAGGAATATGGAGCGGACAGGGTCTGATAGTGTATGAGAGGAATCTAGGGCGGGCAGGGTCTGATAGTGTATGGGAGGAATCTGGAGCGGGCAGGGTCTGATAGTGTATGGGAGGAATATGGGGTGGGCAGGGTCTGATAGTGTATGGGAGGAATCTGGGGCGGGCAGGGTCTGATAGTGTATGGGAGGAATCTGGAGCAGGCAGTGTCAGGCAAGGATCTAGTGCAGGTAGGTTACAATACAGAGTGTATGAAAGGAATCTGGAGCAGGCAGTATCTGAGAGAGTGTGTGGGGGGAATATGGAGCAGTCAGTGTCTGGCAGGGATCTAATGCAGGTAGGTTACAATACAGCGTGCATGAGCGGAATCAGGACAAATGTTATCCATGTGTCACAGAGCAGACTGTTGAACACAACCAGGAAAGACAGACATTGAAGAGAGATACTGTAAACCAAAGGCAGATCCTCACTAAAGAAGTCCAAAGTCTGAAGCAAGAAAAGAATAAGCAGGTGAGTTCCATCTTTTTTGATGGTCATGTCTCTTGGCACTAATCTAGAAACCCTGGACTCTACATACTCTCCATTTCATTCCAGTTCCTAAACCTGATGGACACCATTGATCAGCAGAAGGAGGAAATGAACCGCAGCAACAGGTCAGTCTCGGAATATACATTGTGTGGACGTCTTCCTTCAAAAAGAGACATTGGTCTCTGCTGCACGCATTATTCTCTTTCTGTGCTTATTACATGTGTTGTTTTTAAGCAGAACAACCACTCTGCGGCTAGGAAAGCTTCAGGAAGCCTTGGAAGACCGGAAATCGGTGGTTAACTCCTTAAAATCCAAGTAAGCATTCTTCTGGATCTTTCTAGGTGGCCATTTATTTGAGGACAACTTTTTGACTCCTACATTCGTTTGTAGGTTGCAGATGACGGAAGCCAACTTAGCTTTATCACAGCAGAAAGCACAAGACCTGGAGAAGCTCCTGAGCCACACAAAGCAAACTGGCACTAGCATGAGGGAACAACAGGCCAAGGAACTGAGGAAGGAGAAGGAGGTCAGCTTGAGGGGAACTGTGATGACAAAAACAGGGGTTGTGTGCTTTCCATTTCTTACAGAGTCAGTCTTAAAACTATTGCCTATGAAACCTATTGTGTTAGTAAGTCATAAATAAGAAATAAAAAAATAAGAAAAGTCCCATCTCTGAATGTGCACTGTTTGCTGTAGAAGCCTAAGAGTTGGTGAGCTCTCTTAGCCAATCCTGGTGCTCCCATTGGTTTAAGTTGTAATGCTGTGTACATCCCATAAACCATGAATCTTACAGCTACATAGCTGGAGAAAGGTAGGGCGAAGATACAGGAAGGATGTTATGCTTGTGAATACACCGAATGCAAGAAAGGGATTTTAAATGAATTTGGCACAAATCAGGGTCGAGAGTCATGATCAGGATAATGTGGATAAAAGAAATATATTTGTGCAAGTCATTATCCGTAACTAATATATTCTTATTTCAATGTTTTGGCAATAGGAGTCTGCATCTCGGGAAGCAAAACTTAGGCAAGAATTGGCATCTGTACATGATAAAAATCTTTATTATCGCAGCAAGGTAAGTTTCTCATAATTCTGCTGCACTCCGAGGCTTGAATCGGGAATCTTGGGACGGGGAGCTGCTGATTGGCACACCATTCCCAAAATGACTTTGAAAAATGTGCAAGTTTTCAATTAGTTTTTTAAATTGGGAGCTTCTGATAGGCTGAGAGTGTGAGAGGCTCCCAGTCAAAGACTTCCTGATTCAAGCCTTGGACTACGGTGAAAAGAGCAGAGCAATTTAGAGCCATATTCTACACTTTGGGGATAAACGAGGTAAGCTGTAACTGGGGAACCTCCTTGCACCATAACAACTTAATTCCAATGAAGTCTTTATGGTGCCTGAAGTACCCCTTTAAAGTATAATCTAATAAGCAGATGACGGTTTGGAATTGGGTGCCAGGAGAAGGCAACAGGAGAATCCCATTAGTCTATTAATCGTCTTATTAACCAAGGCTGCAAGTGTAGTTTTTTTTTTTTTTTTTTTAATAGCTTTTTATTTTGGAGTAATCCACAGGTAGCTCTCCAGGTGGTAGAACTAACTGCCCAATAATGCTCAGCAATCTGCCTACACAGGGCTGTGCCTGTGCCTGTCTAAGCAATAAGTTGGGAGATATTTGTTTGGTATCATTGATCTATATAGTATTTGATGATTACATCTAATCTAACCTCTCTAGTACAAATCTGTGCTCTAATGTCAGCTCACAAGCTATAAATAGGAGTTTATTCACTCAATTACTAATTGTGGTGTCTTGAGTAACATTTTGGGGTAAAAACTGCTGATTTGGAAAAATAAATCTACAGTTCAGCTATACTCACAGGTTGGCTATTTTAATCTGGATTTATAGTTTTGGTACTTTCTGTATTCCGTGAATAAACCATTGAGAACACTTTATCTCACTGCTTTGTGATAAACAGAATGGCTGGGAGCACGATTTTCAGTTTTTAGAAAGTGCGCTGCAGTGAGCCTCTCAGCACAATCCATTGGGTTAGTTTCCCAAATCTCCCTTAATGACCTGGTATGGTGATTGGGTGTACCCATGCAGGTGGATGAGCTGGAACGGCGATGCAAAGCCCAGCAGCAACAGCTGTTTGATCTGAAGCAGGAACTGACGGACACAGGGGCTGAGCTGAAAATCAGAGCAATGCAGGCTGAAGGTAAATGGTACCCACTGAATGGTCCAGAGGTTTGGCCCATGTTTGTGATTTAATATAGGGCAAGGGTGGACCATTTTGTAGCATTCCCATTTTTGAGAATTATGGGAAATGTAGTTTTAAGAGCTAAACAGCTCCATACCCCTGATATTAGAACAATGTCTTTGGGATGTCCATCTGTGAGAATTTAACCTTTTATATACTTATTATGATGAATTAAGAATAGAGCTTATTTACATATTTCACTTGATACAGTCATATCGATCTGTGATGTCTAAGCCTGGCCGAGGTAGTCTTGACATGTTTAGAGTTAACATTCCTCTTTTATAGAACTCCTGGAAGCTGAGAAGAAGAGATTCCGTCAGTCAAGAGATGACGCGGTTGTTTTACATCAGAAAGAAGTGAGTATACTTCAACTCTCACTCACTGACTCACAAGGTTCCAGGAAGAGGGTCTAATCTTGTCTGTGATGGCAGGTGGACCACGTGGCACGTCTCTTGGAGGACAGTGAGAAAGCCACCCAAGAAAGGATGCAGCGCCTGGAAGTTACAAAGTTGGGACTGGAGGAGGTGAGAGCGACATCAACATGACTGCGCAGCATGTGTAACTAGGGGTGTCAGAGGGTCTTTTTTTTCAGGGAGGAAGGGTGAATTTATGAGGTTCCTGCCTTCAGTGCGGAGTTAGTGGTGCACAGGATCGGAAGATCACTGCTCACAGGAGTGATTTGCCTTCTTTTAAAAATATTACCGCACAGTATGTGAAAACATCTTACCTTAAATACCTCCTCACACAGGACTTTATCGTTTCAGTCTCTATGTGACCTTTATCAAGATTTCTTTCATCAAAAACGCATAGAGACATCTCTCTGAACAAGGAGTGTCTTTGGTGTTTATTAAATGGCCATTACAAACCAAACATCAATGTCCTAACACATTGTATGAAGGTTTACATTTAATCTTTCAGGCTGGGGTAGAACTGAGGTTGGCTGTGCAATTGGGGTTGGTGACGTGACACAAGGTTTGAGCGATGCAATCCATTGCATCTCCCAGTGTGGTACTTGTTTGTCACCTGACAGATGTCCACTGTTGCTCGGAGTTTGATATAAATCTATTCTTTCCTCACTTCTATTTCCAATGTCCCTGCAGGAGCTGAATAGGCTGAAGGTAACCTTAGCCAATGAGCGGATTCATGCAGCAGAGGAGATCCAAAAGGTCCGCAGTGCGACACAGCTGGAGGAGGTGAGGATTCGCTATTCTAAAGGCTGTACCTTCTCAAACGGTTCCCACATACACATACCAGAGCTTGCCTAGATGAGATATTATTAATCTCGTGAGGATGTGATTTAAAAATAAATGTATAATGTAAGGATAATTATGGGGCAAAGCTGCTTTAAAGGGACAGTCTATGCAGTCTAACCACACCAGTACAATGGAGTGGTTATGGTGCCAAGAGTCCCCTGGCTCCATCCTATATTAACTCCTTAAGGACACATGACGGAAATATTCCGTCATGATTCCCTTTTATTTCTGAAGTTGTGTCCTTAAGAGGTTAAGTAGTCTAACTCTACTGTTTGTCACTTACCTGAGTCCCAGTCCAGGTTCCTCCAGTCCGGACTCCTTTCCTGATAATGATAATATTGAAGTTCCTAAATTTTTGGACATCTGAGAGTGTCAGAGTGATTGCAGTCCTGTAAATCATTTAAGATCTTATTAGATGATGGGCTCTCCAGTGAATCTTCCTTGTGTATAGGATGTTGGCGGCACAGTACATGGCAGATTAATATCATGCTGTAACAGTGTTTTTTTTCGGCTTGAAACCTATACAAAGGAGGAGAGACATTAAGATGCTCTAAGAGTCTGATTTATTTTGGCATGGGAATATAGGAATTATAGATAATATGTTGGGTACGTAATATCAAAAAAATGAATTGCACCAAAAATGTATTCATTGTAAAGGTGCGTACAGCAACATGAAAATCGCTGAACTTAAAGCACAGAACACGTTAAGTGGCTTAGTCTGGTGTTTGTATGCAGTTTTACTTGTAATACATTTTAGAGCATTTAATATTTCCTTGGCGTTATCTGATTGCGCTAGTTGATTTGTGTTCCTCATTTGGCCGTGGATTGTGTGAGTCTTTGGAGGTGATTGTACAGACCTTGGAATATTAACTGAAAATAAGAAAAAGGAAATTCAGCGGATATCCCAAATCTTGGGTCTTGGATGCACATAAGGTTTTTCATGCTGTGTTGCCAGCCCAGATACCCTGAATACCCTCCATACGCAGCAACAGCCACTGCTTCCCATCCAGACTTTCTAAAGGCATTTTTAACATTAGTAGCTGCATGATGTTGTCCATAAACGGGTTTTTACGACCTGTTTGTGATGTGTAGATATGTGCGCTGTTATACAATGTGGTTTCTCTATGTTCTATATATACATCTTTCCAGTAAAGTTAACGAACTCTTAACCAGAAACAAGTCTGAAGCATAAATACCAAAAGTGTCATCCAGAGAAGGTTAAATACCAATGACATCTATGGAATAAAATCTAACCATCTTTAATGCAAACCACATGTGTGTATCTTCCCCTCCTTTTCTCATCTCCCTCTATCTGTCTTCTACTCCCTTTTACTTTCTCTCTTTTTCTCTCTTTTCTTTCACTCTCTCTCTTTTTCCCTATGTTTTCTTTCCTTCCCTTTTAAACTATGCCCCCATAATCTCCTTAATCTCTACCCTACTTACCGTTATCGTTTTAACCCTTTCCATTTTTCCATAGCTCCCACTCGTAATTTACCAAATCTATAAGTTAGAAGCAGAGAGGGGTTAAGGGAATTAGCTGCCATATAAATGTCTGTTACATTTTTATATGGGAGGTAATGACTCCTGGTCAATGTCTGTGTCTTTTTGTTTGTTTATTTCCGAGCAGCAGCAGCATTCTGCCGTTCTACAGGACAAGCTACGGACCCTCGCTCAGTCCAGAGATCAGGCTCAGAATCAAGTTTTACAGCAACAGCAGCAGACAGGAGAGCTGCAGGCCCAGAACAGCCAGCTAGGCCTTGAAATAGAGTGTCTGAAAAGGAGGATTGATGGGTTCAATCAGGTACATTCAGGAGGAGGTTTTTACAGGGAGTCACCTAGCCAATGGCTTAACATTTAGGGTGAACTTTTCTTTCTGAAACTATAATTTATAACAACGTGTCTGACCCCCAGGAACTGGCCAAGAAAGAGCAACAGAAATTGGCTGAAGTCACAAAAGTGCGCATTGAGCTTCAAGAGCAAATCGGACACCTTGAAGCAGAGCTGGTGGCTCAGGAGGGCCTTAAAGAGAAAATAAGCACTCTGGAGAGGCAGCTGAAAGGTGTGAATTGAAAAGTTTGCCACAGGAGTTTTAGCAAAAAACGTGCTTTAGACTATGTGGGCAGAGAGAGGCAAGAGGGAGTAGACATTTAAAAACTTAAGATGGTGGACACATGGAGAAGGCCTACATAGCAATACCCTTTCCTGGTTCACAGAGTCCAGGGTGGCCAAGTCCCTTGTGGAATGCACACCGAATGGACTGGGCACACAGGCAATTTATTGTCACATAAAAGGTATCTGGCTTTAGAAAGACGTTCTGCCCTTGACTGTGACACTGCTTAGTTGGTCCTTCCTCTTTGTTTAAACTGAAGATGGTCCATGTGGCCAAGAGGAAATCTGGCAAATATTCCCTTGGACATTTACCCTAGTCTTGAGCAGTTTGAGGGAAACATAAAGTGGGTGATAAAATACATAAACACTATTTTTTTTTTTTTTTTTCCCCTTTACATTCCACCCCCAGAGTTCCTTTTGTTTTGCATCAGATAGAAAACCCAAGGCACAAGTAATGCAAGCCAGATGATGGTGATCTAATCATATTCCAAGCGTTGGCCCACAGCCAGTTATATGGGTGTATTAAAACGTTACTCCATTCCCCTTAAGTACTTTCTGTGCACAACAACAAAACATTATTGTAGCAGCATCCATCACGAACACACACTGCACCCACACTGCACAAGCGCACAGGAAGAGGAGAAACTTGGGTGGCCACAAGATGCGCTTCCATGGTGCACATCACTGCTTGATGAGAAAGAGAGAGACAGACGCCCCTCTCTGTAGGGAGCCTGTAGGCATGTGCCTATACTGCTCTATAATTAATCAGGCTCGGCCCATGCTCTGCATCCAGTGTCAGAATACTTTACAAGGTGATGCTGGAGACTGTGGCAGAACTAATACAAAGAGGGCCCTTAAAGGACATTTTTGGCCACCCCTGTAGTGCAAGGCCCCATGATACTTTGCCAGCTGGGGAATTACCATTTGTCCATCCTTGCTGGGCTGAATTTGTGAGCAGTGTCTGTGTGCTTGAATGTAAACATGTTTTTGTGCGGAGTAAGTGTATGTGACTGTAAGTGTGTATTTATGTGTTGGAGTTGAATGCAGTTTGTGTATGTATGCAGTTTTGACGTTTAAAAGCAGGGGTGTATTCATATGTAGTTGGTGTTGGAATGTAAAGGTGTGTTTGTATGTGGTATGATTGCAGGGTGTGTTTATTTGTAGTGTCGGTGTGTTTATTTGTAGTGTCGGTGTGTTTATTTGTAGTGTCGGTGTGTTTATTTGTAGTGTCGGTGTGTGAATGCAGGATGTGTTTATTTGTAGTGTCGGTGTGTGAATGCAGGATGTGTTTATTTGTAGTGTCGGTGTGTGAATGCAGGATGTGTTTATTTGTAGTGTCGGTGTGTGAATGCAGGATGTGTTTATTTGTAGTGTCGGTGTGTGAATGCAGGATGTGTTTATTTGTAGTGTCGGTGTGTGAATGCTGGGTGTGTTTATTTGTAGTGTCAGTGTGTGAATGCAGGGTGTGTTTTTGTAGTGTCGGTGTGTGAATGCAGGGTGTATTTATTTGTAGTGTTGCTGTTTGAGTGCAGGGGTGTTTTTATTTGTAGTGTTGCTGATGTTTGATGGCAGTGTGTATTTGTATTTAGAATTCAGGGCTATGTATGTATGTGTGTAGTGTTGGTGTTTGAATTCTCCGATGTATGCACATTTACACAAACTCTGATACACACAGATACACGTGCATATTTACACTGACACAGACACACTCAAATGCACAAACATATTTTTCAGAAATATACATGCACACTGACACACACTTATAGAAATGATCATTTTCATATTTTTAGCCACCCCTTTTTTTCTATACCTTTTTGGGTGAATAACAGTCTCTTTCCTGTCCAGTGGACCTGTCTGAGGATGATGGGAGTCTTGTCCATGCACCCTAACCTCTGCTGATATGACCGGGATCTGGCTAAAGGGCTGCAGCCCCCAACTGGGCCCCTAATCATTGCACCCAATGGTGAGGGATTCCCGATAGGTCACCTGCAGCTTGTGGGCTTTGGTGCAGCCACACAAGCTTCACTAGTGGGGAGGGAATGACATTACAGGTGTGAAAATTGCAAAATGTAAACTGTGTTTCTTACAAAAACTGCTTTGTATTCCACTGTAAGACTGCCCATAATCACTTTATTAAAGCGGATCTGTCACATTCTTGGATCTTTGCATATTTCCCAAAAGTGACAGATCCAGTGTGGGTCCAGTGGCCGTGGGGTGCAGGGGAGGTAAGTTTAACGGCTCTCTCGCAAGAGTACAGCACAGAAGTACGCGGGAGATCAATGGCTGAATCTCACAGCCGTCAATTGTTCCTGCTGCTGGCAGTGGACAAGCATTGATGATAGAGCTCTGCCTTTTGTCAACCTCCGATTTATCACAAAATAGTCCCTAATTTTTCTTATATCTTTTGATTGCATTGTAACTTCCAATGAAATTCCAACGCAGTCTTGATCACTATTTCACAAACATTTTATCATTATGAAACATTGAAAAGTGACCGAGATGCTTTAAGATAAAGTTATTTTGGTGCTTGGTTGGTTCCTTTAAGATGTTACAAAGTTTCACCATGTGTACTGGATGCTATATATCTCTGCATTCATTGATTACTGCAAATATTGTGTTAGATTTCTAGCAGCGGAAACCTGATGTCAGGTAAATATTTCTAATCGCCATAGCAACCTAGCCTCAGTTATTTGTCACACAATACTATAAGGACACAGTCTCAACCAGAACTTTAATTGGAAATTTGATATTTGTGCATTTATTTGTAGTGCAATCCAACTCCCAACGTGAGATGATGCTGGACAAGGATGGTGAGATCGCTTCATTGGTGGAGAAACTTCGAATGAAGGAAGCAGAGATTTTGAGGATGCGAGAGGAGGATGCACAGAGAGCTAGTCTGCTACAAAATGCCATTTTATCCTATATCCACAGATCTCCACTTAATAAGTAGAATGTGCCCCATGTACTATGCAATTCCAGAGACAACCTGTAAACAGACTGTCTGTTTTTACCCAGAATCCTTATGTTGTGCCTTATTATGAAAGCCATGGGGCAAATTGCCTCCTGTCCTCCCAGTCAGTAATGTGTGAAAGGTCTATGATCATGGCAAATTAATTTATTTTATACTGTGATGTATTTACATATTTTTATAATAGTGCCCTGATTTTTTTATTTTTTTTTAAATAAATCTTTCTATTTCTTTTGTATGTGCTGTGCTTTCCATTGGTCATTTGGATAATTAATTGTGTGTATTCACATTGTAGATTAACGTGATCAAATCTTTCCAGGTAGTGTTTTTACGGACCCTTCATAAAAAACAGCAAATAGAACAGTGATAGCTGATTATTTACTGGTGGACGAACCTATGATTAAGTTCACGTTTACCGGTTGTGCCAATGGTTGCCCTCCTTTGGGTCAAGGTTGCCTAGGGACAGTCAAACCTCAAGGTGTTTTTATTGTTTATTTACAGTCCATTGGCTGTGTAAAAAGAAAAAAGGTTCAGTCAAACATCCATTCTATAAGTGTGACTTATACAAAGCTCTCCCCATTAAATACATATACATTGTCATATCTAGCCGAGCTGGAGTCAAGAATTTGTCCAACTAAAGCAGGGCTTGACAAATTTGTTTGGAATCTAGGAGCCAGCTAAAAAAGTTAGGAGCAAGCTTTTTTTTTTTTTTTTTTTTTTAAAGGGGCAATATATAGTCACCAGAACCACTACAGCTTAATGCAGTGGTTCTGGAGCCTATAGCCTGTCCCTTTAGCCTTTTCAATGTAAACACTGCATTTTCAGAGAAACTCTGCACCCTTCACGCCACACAGACTGCGAGTAGCAACATCATCAATACCAGCTAACATCACACTAAAGAGAAGCAGTTCCAGCCATCACATTAGGAGTGAGTTAATGCTAATTTTCAAGTTGATAATTTTGTATGGCCCTTGAATAATGTTTTAAATATCCAAATGGCCCTTGGCAGATAAAAGGTTCCCCACCCCTGGTTTAGAGGGACCCTACAGTCTCCCAGATCACTTCATCTCATTGTAGAGGTCTGGGTGCACTGTCCCTGTCTCCCTGAGGCGCTGCATAGAGTATTTCCCAAGTATGTGGGTTAATCTCATAAGAGCAGGCAATAAGATTGCTAGAGTAGGACCTACCAAGAATGGGGTGCAGGTTTATACAATGTATGATCATATACTGGAACTAAACCCCCATTGGTTTTTTGCCTAGGTTAGGTGTTTTAAATTTTAATTTTTTTATTAAGTTTACATTCTGTGAGCTTTGAAAATACTGTTTAGTGAATGAGTCAGGGTGCTGGATAAGTTAAGTTCCTGTCGGTTTAAGCTTCCTAATGAAAACAATATCAATAGAAGGGCACTATAGCGTGAAGAATACACATTGTGTTGCTTTAATGGATAAAATAACTTTGTGAATATTTCCGCTTTGACTTAAGATATTGTTATTCTCTTGTTACTTCCCCACATTTCCAAATTAGTAAATAAACCAAAGTGATTTCTGCCAGTACCAGTACATTACTGCATTGTTCACCCATTAACTGTGTAAATAATTAACTGGTATATAACCACTTAACGTACTGATGAGTGCCAAGCAGCTGGAGTCCCTGCTTTCCGATGACTGTGTGTATCACAAGTGAAGGATAGGGCCTGCCAAGAATGGGGTGAGGCACCGGGAATATGAACCCGGGCAAAGTGAATGTCAAACTTGTGGCCAATACATCCAAAACAAAGACATTTTGTATACTCTTACTATTTTGCGGAAAAAGGAATTCACCTTGAATCTCCATAAAACCATACTACTCTTCAAGGAGCACTATAGGGTCAGGAACACAATCATGTATTCCTATAGTGTTAACACCACCATCTACCCCCCTGGTCCCCTCATGCCTCTAAAAATAAAGTAAAATCTTACTAGAATTCAAGCCTGCAGCTGCATAGTTTGTCCATGTTTCCTTTAGACCTGCTGACATAATCAGAAGTGGTGGCCTGAGCCAATCACAATGCTTCCCCATAGGATTGGCTGAGACTGACAAAGAGGCAGATCAGGGGCAGAGCCAGCATGATTCAAACACAGCCCTGGCCAATCAGCATCTCCTCATAGAGATGAATTGAATCAATGAATCTGTATGAGGAAAGTTCAGTGTCTGCATGCAGAAGGAGGAGATACTGAATGTTTGGATGCATTTTAGGCAGCCATGACCCAGGAAGGATCTCTAACAGCCATCCGAGGAGTGGCCAGTGAAGGTATCACTAGGCTGTAATGTAAACACTGCATTTTATCTGTAAAGACAGTATTTACAAATTACAGCAAAGAGCCTGAAGGTAATGATTCTACTCGCCAGAACAAATTCGATAAGCTGTAGTTGTTCTGGTGACTATTGTGTCCCTTAAATTGATGTTATTTACTAAACTCCAAAATGCTAAACTCTTTTATAGAGAGAGGTAAGTTTAGTTGTCTCTGGTGTTTGAATAGCAGTTTCCCCACTGATGTTAATGGGAGATCTACTATTCGCTCACCAGGCTTTAATTTAATGTATGTTTTGTTAATATAATTCATCACTAAACCGAATGGCAAAATTTAGACTGAAAAAGCATTTTGAGATTTTCTCCAAGTCTTTTACAGTCACACCTTGGCTGATTGTATTATGAAGGGCAGTGGCCAATAGCTAAGCAGAGGTTAGTTATGGGTTCTGCTATTTATTTATTTTTAGCAATCTCACAATTTTTTCAATTTAATTTACACCATGTTGCTGGCCGCACGCTATGTAAGATTTCTAATACAAGCATGGCAATATTGAAGGATTGCCCAAATTGCAGAACCTTGGACTGGATTTTTCTGTAGATACCTGAGTACTATATATGTACTATATCCATTCTATGAGCTATCGGTCAGTACATGAAGAGGGCTACCTTCCAGTATGTAGCCTTTATATGTTGCAGGAGAAGTTCAGTTAAATAATCAGGGCCATGCTGAATATCTGAATCTTATTCTACAGCACATGAATTCTATATACAGAGTACTCAATGGCAGCACTTTTCCTGCACTGTCCACCAGCAGGAAGATATTAATAAATACTGATAAATAATACTCTGGGAGTGATGGGTCCTGTAAGGAGGGTGACAATGTACTGTCCCTTTAATAAAGATTCCAGGCTTGCATTGAGTTTCATTCATTCTATACAGGTTTCCTTTGTGGATTCCAGTGAGCTGTTTGATACAATGTACTGTCCCTTTAATAAAGATTCCAGGCTTGCATTGAGTTTCATTCATTCTATACAGGTTTCCTTTGTGGATTCCAGTGAGCTGTTTGATACAATGTACTGTCCCTTTAATAAAGATTCCAGGCTTGCATTGAGTTTCATTCATTCTATACAGGCTTCCTTTGTGGATTCCAGTGAGCTGTTTGATACAATGTAACATGTTATACCCCGTGTTATTACCGCATTGGGCTTGGCAGTCAGTGTTACCTTCGGCAATTCTCGGAATCGAGCTCCGTCAGGTTCCACCTACCTTCGGGTATCTCCGTATCTGTTCAGCTATCTCCGGCATGCACGCCAAGGTCTCGCTATTTTCCTCCGGCTATTTCCGTAAACAGCGCTCGTTTTTTTCCGCTTCCTCTCGGCTGTCTATCTTCTCAGTGCTCGGCTATTTCCGCCCGCATTCGGTTATCTCCGGAGCCTCCCTGTTCCCGTTAGTGTCCGTGTCTCTCCGAGGAGCTCCCGCTAGAGCCAGTTCCGCCGCCCAGGACATGCAGGCCATTAAATGTGTGGTGGTGGGAGACGGGTGAGTGACCCGAATATCTCTGTGTGGGGACAGACCGGCTAGCCATCCTCTGCATGTTACATGTATGACCGGCTAGCCATACTCTGCATGTTACATGTATGACCGGCTTGCCATCCTCTGCATGTGACATGTATGACCGGCTAGCCATCCTCTCTCTACATGTTACATGTATGACCGGCTAGCCATCCTCTGCATGTTACATGTATGACCGGCTAGCCATCCTCTCTCTACATGTTACATGTATGACCGGCTAGCCATCCTCTGCATGTTACATGTATGACCGGCTAGCCATCTCTGCATGTTACATGTATGACCGGCTAGCCATACTCTGCATGTTACATGTATGACCGGCTAGCCATCCTCTCTCTACATGTTACATGTATGACCGGCTAGCCATCCTCTGCATGTTACATGTATGACCGGCTAGCCATCCTCTGCATGTGTTACATGTATGACCGGCTAGCCATCCTATGCATGTTACATGTATGACCGGCTAGCCAGCCTCTGCATGTTACATGTATGACCGGCTAGCCATACTCTGCATGTTACATGTATGACCGGCTTGCCATCCTCTGCATGTGACATGTATGACCGGCTAGCCATCCTCTCTCTACATGTTACATGTATGACCGGCTAGCCATCCTCTGCATGTTACATGTATGACCGGCTAGCCATCCTCTCTCTACATGTTACATGTATGACCGGCTAGCCAGCCTCTGCATGTTACATGTATGACCGGCTAGCCATACTCTGCATGTTACATGTATGACCGGCTAGCCATCCTCTGCATGTGACATGTATGACCGGCTAGCCATCCTCTCTCTACATGTGACATGTATGACCAGCTAGCCATCCTCTCTCTACATGTGACATGTATGACCGGCTAGCCATCCTCTGCATGTGACATGTATGACCGGCTAGCCATCCTCTGCATGTTACATGTATGACCGGCTATCCAGCCTCTGCATGTTACATGTATGACCGGCTAGCCATCCTCTGCATGTTACATGTATGACCGGCTTGCCATCCTCTGAATGTAACATGTGTGACCGGCTAGCCATCCTCTACACGTTACATGTCCGTCTCTCTATTTATCCATCCTCTACATGTTACATGTATGACCGGCTATCCATCCTCTACATGTTACATGTATGACCGGCTAGCCATCCTGTGCATGTTACATGTATGACCGGCTAGCCATCCTGTGCATGTTACATGTATGACCAGCTAGCCATCCTCTGCATGCCACATATTACATGTATGAACTGCTATCCATACCTTACATATTACATGTCTGTCTATCTATCCATCCATCATCTACACGTTATATGTATGTATGGCCAACTATTCACCCCCTACATGTTACATGTCTCTCTCTATCCATCATCTACATGTTATATGTATGTATGGCCAACTATTCATCCCCTACATGTTGCATCCTATCCATCCTCTACCTGCCACATATTAAATGTATAACCCCTATCCATCTTCTGTATGTTACATATTACATGCTTGACCAGCTATCTATCCCCTACATGTTACACATATGACCCATTAACCACCCCCTACATTACACCCATATAAATACTTTAACATGTATCACATGTAGCACACCCATTGTATGTAATTCCAGATATATATATATATAATACATTGACATGCATGGCACTTAGCACACTCAAACTGTTAAAACCCACATACCTGTACACTAATAGATACTGGAGTCCGCTAGAAGCATTTCCAAACAGTTTGACACTTAGCGGGGTCCCCCAGACGCCTCTGGTCCTACTTGTCAGATATATCCGCAGCTAACGTTTTCCTTTCACAAGAGCTATCCTTAGTGTTAGTTAGGTTGAGTTAATGTCATTAATAGTAGTAACTTCACACTAGATGTATCAGAAAAGAGGGAACCCAGGTAAGTGAAATTCTAAAGCTGTTTGACCACATACTGTAGGAAGGCACCTGGGGACTCCTGGCACCATAACTACTACAGGATGTTCACTTGGGCTTTTAATAACAATATAGATTGGGCCTCATTTCTTCTTGGCATATTGGAGTTTTATTCATTATAGAGTGAGTTGCAGATAATTGGAAAACCAGCTGCAAACTTTAAGTCAAGCTGTAACGATAAGAGATTTACGGTTAAATGTTTCGAATTCTGCTATCTTGTTATTATTATTATTATTATTTATATAGCGCCATAGCGCTGTACTGGTTTCCTGTTCACTGTTTAGTGATTAGAACTCATTGTATCCTACGTAGATTTAATTAGGCAATCTTTATATATTCATACACCGAATACACATTCACTGCTTTACATTAGATTTAAAGGGACACTTTCACAGGCACAATGTGACGTTTGTCAGATTACAAGTAGTTATAATTTAACAGTCACATTTATTAGAGAATAATCGAGCTCTCTTGACTCTGGTGAACATAAAATAATCCTGATTTTCACTACACCCAAATGTCTTTATCCCCCATACACACAAAACAAACTTTGTGGGATAAACACAAATGAATATGGAATAAATATACAGAGAATGTATTCAGCTTGTATTTTTTTTGTGTGTGGATATTTTAATAACTATTTTTGCTCCACGAGTCCACAAGTCGCCTAAAATTTCCCATAACAGCCCGCCCCTGACCACTCCCCCGCTCTCACCCCTAAAACTATTGTCCCTCTTTGCTGTGTATGATATAAAATATATCTGTATTATCCTGAGACTGCACAGCGTGGTTCAGTTTCTACAGTGCATACCTCCCATATGGTCTATTTTCAAGGGCCAGTCCCTATTTTGGAACCAAATCCCTTTCTCCCACTTTTCTAGGAGCTCCATATTGTTGGTGTGTCTGAGTGTATAACAGAGCTCCACAGCTATAATACTCCCAGTAATGTATGTGAGTGTATAACAGAGCTCCACAGCGATAATACTCCCAGTAATGTGTCTGAGTGTATAACCGAGCTCCACAGCAATAATACTCCCAGTAATGTGCCTGAGTGTATAATACTGCTCCACAGCAACAATACTCCCAGTAATGTGTCTGCATGTATACCAGAGCTCCACAGCAATAATACTCCCAGTAATGTGTCTGAGTGTATAACAGAGCTTCACAGCAATAATACTCCCAGTAATGTGTCTGAGTGTATAACCGAGCTCCACAGCAATAATACTCCCAGTAATGTGCCTGAGTGTATAATACTGCTCCACAGCAACAATACTCCCAGTAATGTGTCTGCATGTATACCAGAGCTCCACAGCAATAATACTCCCAGTAATGTGTCTGCGTGTATAACAGAGCTCCACAGCAATAATACTCCCAGTAATGTCTGAGTGTATAATAGAGCTCCACAGCAATAATACTCCCAGTAATGTGTCTGAGTGTATAACAGAGCTCCACAGCAATAATACTCCCAGTAATGTCGATGACCATTTTCTTTTTCCAGTCCAGTGCATTGGGCATGAAAAGTACAAGTGGCCATCACTGCGCTCCTCAAATGAAATGGACGTTAGCTATGAGAACAGAGCATGACTCGGTCCTCATAGAGGAAACACATTTACTGCCTGTCAGGGTGACTAGAGGTGTATTTAACCCTTAAATGTAGGCATTGCCGTATTTACTAAAAGAAGACCACTGAACCCAGACCACGGACTGATACTTTAATGCCCACATGGATCTCTTCCTATGGTGCGCCTGGGCAAAAACTGTCTGGGGATTTAGCAAACCTCCAGGTACTGATATATACAGTGCATTGTTCTCAAACTTGGCAAATCCTGAGACACTCATTACCATTACAATGGGAGAATCCAGAGTCTGAACGCAGGATGGCACGGGCCGATGGGTATTTACCTTTAGATGCCATACAATATTTTTTCGATCAGGGGTTAGAAGGACCTAATTTATGTCCGAACGTGACCGAATCTGCTTGTAATACACCAGGTTTAATCACTATAAATGATCTGCACATTCCATTGTTTTTCTCATTACATCAGATGACATTTTGTAAAATGAAATCTTTAGAGACCATGATTATTCCTCTGTGAGAGCCTGCGTCTGCATCCTGATTAAAGTGCAAGATCATTAGGAAATGGTTAAATAAAAAACCTGCATGGCGCAAACTGGGGGGGTTGGACGGAGGGTAACTCCTCTGCCCATTCCTAGAACTCCGTTTATAATTTTTATAAACATGCATGATTATACTAGTACAGCAATCATTGCGTTTCCATATACAGTATAGGGAAATGTACCTTTATTGCTATATTTATGGGAATATTTGGATGCTTAATTAATTAATTTATTTTTCTTTCTTCTTCAGAGCTGTGGGGAAAACATGTCTCCTGATAAGTTATACAACCAATGCCTTCCCTGGAGAATATATCCCAACTGTGTAAGTAATAGCCTAGGTGTGTGTCTGCGGGGGGGGTGGGAATATACTGGCAATTAATGGGACCCTCCAACATCACTACAATGCACGTTCCCACATGTTTACGGTGTCAGAAGGTCCCCTGCTCTGTATTCTAGTCATTGCTGGAACGTGTAAATTTGTGAAGTGATTCATTTGGGATTTAACCCCTTAAGGACCAAACTTCTGGAATAAAAGGGAATCATGACATGTCACACATGTCATGTGTCCTTAAGGGGTTAAAAGGAAAGACACTCCCTAGAAGATTGTAAATATGATTTTTGTTTTTGGAAACCTGCCCCATAGTTCCGATGTTTTATAGGTTCGATAATTATTCGGCTAATGTGATGGTGGATGGGAAACCCGTGAATTTGGGACTATGGGACACGGCCGGCCAAGAGGATTATGACCGACTGCGACCCCTCTCCTACCCTCAGACAGTACGTCATATCTGGTTCTATCTTTCAGCTCGGAATTAAACATTAAAACAGGACTGGAATAGTAAACTTAGGAAGGTGATAGCCATACCTCTGCTGACCCCATCTATTGAAGAAATACATTTCTGATGGTTGTTGCTCAGTCACATTGTCACCAATAGACAGAAAGTGGCTCCGAACCTTTTTTTGACCCAATCACATTTCAATGAGAGAAACAGTTCCAAAGCACACTTGCATTTTTTTTCTTGCTTGAGAGATGTAAATCCTTTTTAATGAATTGACAGATGTGAATCCTTGTATTTATTAAGAAACACACCTCACAGACCGCGTTCAATCTATACACAGCCTGTATGTTTGTGGCACACATAGGTTACCCATCACCGGCATGGGCATTAGATTCTTCGCATTATCCATTGAGTTTGCAAGCTTTGGCCAAAATATTTTGCTAATTTCTCTTGTTTATCCCTTGTTTAGGTTTTTCATATAGCACTTTCCATTTCTATAAGGATCAGTCAGACAATTTGTGTGCCGTGGTTGATGAAAACAGACTGTTTTACCCTAAAAGACCCTCTTCCGTTAATTTGTGACTCTTTTTCTTTAGGATGTCTTCCTGATTTGCTTCTCCTTAGTCAGCCCAGCTTCATTTGAAAACGTTAGAGCAAAGGTAAAGTCACCTCGATTCACACTCAATGCAGGAAAGTTACTGCAGGGTAACTGTAACAGGAACTATAGAATGACTGCAGAAAGTATCACAGAGATTTACTGTATATTAAATGTAACATTTAGAGAGAGAGACCCTGTTACCTTTACTCCAATGGTGCCCTGTCTGCAGCTCTGAGGGTGTTACTGTAACCCCTACAATGTTTGGCTATTTTTGCCTCTGCCTTTTGCAGTATGGATTTTAAGTCTGTACGATCTAGTGTTTAGTGAATGCATAATGTCAGGGGAATGCCGCCGCATTCATACCTGTCTTGAAGACGCCTGCCGAGTGCGCTCATACCTGGGAGCAGACTGGAACAGCGGGAACATCTCGGTCCAGGGGCATTCCCACGTGGTAATGGGAATGCCGCCCATCACTCACTCCCCGTGGTGGCTCCTCCTCTCACTGCGGCCGGGTCTGTAATCATTAGAGACGCCGGCCGCTGCAGCTTTCATTGAATTTAAGGGGTTTACTAGTTAGCCCTTAAAGTGCCATTTCATTATAGACCTGTGAGTGTGCTACACACACACGCCCACGAACACATGCTTCCCATGCAGCCAATCAGGGAGCACCTTAGACTATATAAAGCTGTTATGTCCATTTCTCTGTGCCCTGTTGTGGTTTCCATTGTGGTTATCCGAGAGTGCGTTTCTGGTATTGATTCTTGTGTATTTGACCTTGGCTTTCCTTCTGACTATCCAATCTCTGTATTCCTTGACCTTTGGCTTGGCTCCTGACTATTCTAAATTCTCCATTCCTTGACTCGTGGCTTGTTCATTGTTTCCGTGATTCCTGCATTCTTGTCATTATCCAGTCTTGTGGTTATTTCCTTTATACGTTAAATCTGGCCATTCTGAGGCCTTGTTATACGTCTTAGGATTTCCTTTATATTTACGTAAGTTCTGCGTGTTGGACATCAGCTATTCCTGACACATACATAATACAAATAAATTCCCCACTATTTAGTTCACAAATCAAGTTAGAAAAAGTAACCAATAGATGGAAAATAAGCAGGTTATATATAATTTTTTTTTAAATATATAATATAGAAATGTTGTTTTTTTTTATTACTGCTCCTCTTTTTTTTTTTTACCACTTCTTTTTGATATGAGAATAAAATCAACATTTAATGGCTGCCCCCTAAGCTTCAATCATCTTTTTTCCATCAATCAAATCTTTTTTTTGGTGCTCCGAATGGAACTCCAAATCTCAAATCAAACTAACATGTTCATCCAGCAGAATAGTCATTTGCTTGGTTACATATCTGTTTGGTGCTTTAGAGACCAGGAATTCATCTGAACTGCTGATTGGATTAAATTTAGAAGAATGGCAATGTGACCAAAAGTAAATGCACAAGTCTATTAACCAGTACTTGTTAACCCATTTTATCACTTTTGTCAGATAGATTGCTGTCATGCACTGCTCTTGCAAGGGAGTCATCTCTAGCTCCTCAATGTGCTCCATTCTTGACCTTGTTCCTGTTTCATATTAGATTTTGTGTGCACTGCCCTGCTTGGCTGTGAATTTTGTTTTTGATTGATGCTCGTCATACCATCTGGGACCATATGTTGATTCAGAAATACTTACCTTGGACCTTGGAACTTGGACCATCCACTGACTCTGAACTGCATGCTCTGCCCTAACTGCCTGTGTTATCCACACACTAATGCATATTTAAGACAAGGCCTTTTATCTTTTAGAAAAAAAACTGTGTGTTAAGACTAGTATTCTACTGTGGAGGTGCACAAACCATACTCTCTTAGCAATTTACCTCCCTGTCTGTGTCTTCTTTGGCCAATGTTACACATACACTATTTTTCTCATATCTAATATAAATATGTTATTTTGGTGAGTGTATACGTTTCTAATTTAATTATACGAAAATGTTTTTATCAGTACGGATGTGCAAATATTTTGTCATCTATCTTGTCCAAGGTCATTCAGTAAATGTATTCGCAAATATTCAACATTCATTAAGAATTTGTCAGCTTTTTGTCCTATACTATTTAACATTATAGTGTAAGATTATATTTGAGCCAGAGAGATTTCAAAACAACACTAAAAAATTGTGGTCATGGTAAGTTTAAAATCAAGGCCATCACTTGGTCCTGAACTGATTGGGAAAGCATAAGGACTTGATGACCAGAACCCATGATAGGAGGTTTTTAAGTCCAAATAATTAATTATGTATGCATGACGATTTTAACCTCATTCCTGCAGGAGCCGAGGACAAGGTTCATGGAAACAGATTTAAATGATCATCAGGAATAGAATAGTCGCATAGGTCCCACTTGTGAGAAGTAAGTGCTAAGTTACAGGGGTAAATACTACCTTTGTGGGTGAAAGGAGAGGGTCAGCAACTTGATTGTACTTTTGCTTTACATAGCTGCTATGTTGTAGGATATTCATGTAACTTATCTGTATGTACAAAGTTTGTTTTTCTTTGGCATGATAAAAAGACACGCTTGAAAACAAGGATTTAGGCACTTATTTATGAACACTGAAATGTGAGTGGGTAAAGTAACTATGTCCTAAGTCGGTCCAGACTCTACATTTTCATCAGCGTTTTCTATCTGATTTTTTCAGATTGTATAAAGTGTTGTTTATAGATCTAAATTCATATCTATTGTAAACTGGGTCAGATGTAATATATCTTGAGAGCGATAGGGTAAAGCATGCAAATGAATTCACGCTCACTTATAGATAATACAACTGAAATGTTATTACTTCTGAGAAAACTGTATCACAATGATCAAAATGATTAACCTTCACAGGAAACCCATATATGCCAAGTTAGAATGATCAGAGTTACAAAAAACACTTCACAAAAAAATATATATTTTTGTGATGACTTTTTGAATACTTTTCTAATGCTTTATTGTATTCAATAATGCATTTATAAGTAAATAGCGAGTCTGTCATATCCTCTACAAATACATACAGTGACATGCTGGTTTGAATACCAATGTTAATATTTAACAAACTGCTAAGAAACTGTAAACATACAGAAATATAAGCAATTCTAGTAGCATATAAATATATATGATCAATGGTTCACCTTTCAGCTCTCTTGTAAATAATTCAAAACTACTGCATCATAAAAAGCACTTACATTACATATACAGGTATTCCTAACTTTAGAATGTTTTCTTAACATGTATTGCCCCTCTCCCCAACCCTCACAATGGTTGTTAAAGAAGACTTACTTACATTTGGAGAGCAAACAATGGGTCGCAAGAGTATTCTGAGAACGGACAGCAGCTAAAATAGCCTGCCCTTCGGTGGGTCCCCGCTCAGAACTCATGCTGGTTTTAGCTCAACTTGTGCCATTACAGAGAGAACATATCTGAAGCATATCAGACTGGTCCCACCCATGCGGGCAGTCCAGACCCGAAATGCCAGCAAGTTCTCTCTGCACGAGAGATACAGCAACCCCAGACGATCGTTTCAGCCTTGTTAGGCATCGTCAGTGAGGCATAGCTGATATCTCTCTAGGCACCGTGAGCAAGGTGTCCACGTCTGGATTACCCTTTAAACTAATGGAGAGCAAAAAATTGGTCGCAAAAGTATTCTGAGAACAGACAGCAGCTAAATAGCCTGCCCTTCGGTGGGTCCCTGCTCAGAACTCAAGCTGGTTTTAGCTCAACTTGTGCCATTACAGAGAGAACATATCTAAAGCATATCAGACTGGTTCCACCCATACGGGCAGTCCAGATCCGAAATGCCAGCAAGTTCTCTCTGCACGAGAGATACAGCAACCCCAGACGATCGTTTCAGCCTTGTTAGGCATTGTCAGTGAGGCATAGCTGATATCTCTCTAGGCACCGTGAGCAAGGGGTCCACGTCTGGATTACCCTTTAGACTAATGGAGAGAAAACAATGGGTCGCAAGAGTATTCTGAGAACGGACAGCAGCTAAAATAGCCTGCCCTTCGGTGGGTCCCCGCTCAGAACTCATGCTGGTTTTAGCTCAACTTGTGCCATTACAGAGAGAACATATCTGAAGCATATCAAACTGGTCCCACCCATACGGGCAGTCCAGACCCGAAATGCCAGCAAGTTCTCTCTGCACGAGAGATACAGCAACCCCAGACGATCGTTTCAGCCTTGTTAGGCATCGTCAGTGAGGCATAGCTGATATCTCTCTAGGCACCGTGAGCAAGGGGTCCACGTCTAGATTACCCTTTAGACTAATGGAGAGCAAACAATGGGTCGCAAGAGTATTCTGAGAACGGACAGCAGCTAAAATAGCCTGCCCTTCGGTGGGTCCCCGCTCAGAACTCATGCTGGTTTTAGCTCAACTTGTGCCATTACAGAGAGAACATATCTGAAGCATATCAGATTGGTCCCACCCATACGGGCAGTCCAGACCCGAAATGCCAGCAAGTTCTCTCTGCACGAGAGATACAGCAACCCCAGACGATCGTTTCAGCCTTGTTAGGCATCGTCAGTGAGGCATAGCTGATATCTCTCTAGGCACCGTGAGCAAGGGGTCCACGTCTGGATTACCCTTTAAACTAATGGAGAGCAAGAAATGGGTCGCAAGAGTATTCTGAGGATGGACAGCAGCTAAAATAGCCTGCCCTTCGGTGGGTCCCCGCTCAGAACTCAAGCTGGGCAAGAGAGATATCGGTGCCTAGAGAGATATCAGCTATGCTCTCACTGACGCATGCTCAACAAGGCTGAAACGATCGCCTGGGTTGCTGCATCTCTCGCGGCAGAGAGAATCCCATGGCATTTCGGTCTGACTGCCCGTATGGGTGGGACCAGTCTGATATGCTTCAGATATGTTCTCTCTGTAATGGCACAAGTTACTAAAACCAGCACATGAGTTCTTGGAGCGGGACCCAATGGCAGCAGGCTATTTTAGCTGCTGTCCCGTTTTCAGAATACTCATGCACCCATTGTTTGCTCTCCATTAGTTTAAAGGGTAATCCAGACGTGGACCCCTTGCTCACGGTGCCTAGAGAGATATCAGTTATGCCTCACTGACGATGCCTAACAAGGCTGAAACGATCGTCTGGGGTTGCTGTATCTCTCGTGCAGAGAGAACTTGCTGGCATTTCGGGTCTGGACTGCCCGTATGGGTTGGACCAGTCTGATATGCTTCAGATATGTTCTCTCTGTAATGGCACAAGTTGAGCTAAAACCAGCATGAGTTCTGAGCGGGGACCCACCGAAGGGCAGGCTATTTTAGCTGCTGTCCGTTCTCAGAATACTCTTGCGACCCATTGTTTGCTCTCCATTAGTCTAAAGGGTAATCCAGACGTGGACCCCTTGCTCACGGTGCCTAGAGAGATATCAGCTATGCCTCACTGACGATGCCTAACAAGGCTGAAACGATCGTCTGGGGTTGCTGTATCTCTCGTGCAGAGAGAACTTGCTGGCATTTCGGGTCTGGACTGCCCGTATGGGTGGGACCAGTCTGATATGCTTCAGATATGTTCTCTCTGTAATGGCACAAGATGAGCTAAAACCAGCATGAGTTCTGAGCGGGACCCACCGAAGGGCAGGCTATTTTAGCTGCTGTCCGTTCTCAGAATACTCTTGCGACCCATTTTTTGCTCTCCATTAGTTTAAAGGGTAATCCAGACGTGGACCCCTTGCTCACGGTGCCTAGAGAGATATCAGCTATGCCTCACTGACGATGCCTAACAAGGCTGAAACGATCGTCTGGGGTTGCTGTATCTCTCGTGCAGAGAGAACTTGCTGGCATTTCGGTCTGGACTGCCCGTATGGGTGGGACCAGTCTGATATGCTTCAGATATGTTCTCTCTGTAATGGCACAAGTTGAGCTAAAACCAGCATGAGTTCTGAGCGGGGACCCACCGAAGGGCAGGCTATTTTAGCTGCTGTCCATTCTCAGAATACTCTTGCGACCCATTGTTTGCTCTCAGGTAATAAACATGCTTCCATTATTTTCAATGGAGTTAAACATAGTTCATAAACCTCTTGCCAGCAGGGATATTTCGGACAAGTAGTTCTGCACTTGGTTGCATTTATCATGCTATCATCTAACTAGCATAACTATCTTCCCATTCACCCCAACCCCCAACCATTCCATCCATCCACTCACCCATCATTCCACCCATCTACTTAACCACCCACCAACCTCCTTACCCAACAACCCACTCTTCCATCCATCCATCTATCAATCCACCCACCCACCCACTCATCTACCTATCCATTCATCCTTCCGTCCACCCATCTACTCAACCACCCACAGCCTTCCTAACCAACAAATCACTCTTCCATCCATCCATCCATCCATTTATCCACCTTTCTGTTCATCCTGCTGCCTAACTATCTGTCTATCCATCCATCTATCTATCTATCTATCTATCTATCTATCAAGATGGACACTGTGAAACCTGGGTTTAGATCCTTATTTTTTCTCTTTTGACACAGGATGATAGTAAATGTATTTAAAAATATGTATTTATAATAATAATAATAATATATATATATATATATATATATATATAAACTTTTTTTAAATCATGACTGTTAATACATAGGCATTTAATTTTTTTATTTCGAACTCTTTTATTGTCTCTTTTAATACAACACATATAAAATATAGAATTGTTAAAACAGAATGATATGATTGACAACACACTTAAGAGGTTAGTTGATGTGAAATTTATGTGTAAAGAATATAAAAGACTATTTGCTTGTATTTAATTGATAATCTGTAGTGAACTCAAAGCTGCTGTTGCCAATTTAATGCCTTGTGGAGATGATGCTGTAAGACAAGGACTTTTTTTATATCTTAATTAACATGCCAACTGTACTTGTCACCTCCTTTTTAAAGTATCTCTTGGATAAGCTGGAATGCGGGCAATGTGCCAGGGAGGCAGGTGCTTAACATGTGCCCGCAAATTGATTCTTGTCATCCTCTGCAAGGTAATGCACTGCATGGTAGGAAGCAACTTCATGTAAAGTTGCTTTGCCAGCGCATTTCAGCTGTCTGCATTTTCTGTTAATTTTATCTTTGATTTAACTGCTTCAAGACCAATGACATATCGGTGACTCAATAATGAGGGGTTTGCCCAATATTTTTTCTCATTTTATTTTACAGTTCTTATATAGCGATCTTGTCCATAGCACTTTTTTTTTCTTTTAATTTTTTTATATAGCTTCACTATGCTACAACAAATAAACAGGTCACACATATTTATATATGCAGTCCATAGCACTTTTTAAGGTAAACGAACACTACTGGCTCAGGAACACGATTGTATATTCCTGATCCTATAGTGTTAAAACCACTATTTAGGTGACTTTCCCCTCTCTCTCCCCCCTTAAAAAATAAGAAAACTTACCTTATTTCAAGCGCCACGTGTCCGACGGCATGGGCCCCGCCCCACCCTGATCCGCTTCCTTGGCTAACATCATCAGAAATGATGATCTCAGCCAATCCAATGCTTTCCCATAGGAAAAGCATCGGATTGGCTGAGATCGTCAAAGAGGCGAGCCGGGGCCAAATGCCGGCCTGGCCAATCAGCATCTCCTAACAGAGAAGCATTCAACCAATACATCTCTATAGGGAAAGTTGTTCATCTCCATGCAAATCGTGAAGGCGTTGAACGTCAGTACAGCACACTGTGAAGCACTGCCCCATGAAGCACATCTAGTGGCCGTCTGAGGAGTGGCCACTAGTGGTGTTCCTAGGGAGCAATATAAACATTGCCTTTTCTCTGAAAAGACAGTGTTTACCGCAAAAAGGCTGCAGGGGCTGACTATACTCACCAGAACAACTACATTAACCTGTAGCTGTTCTGGTGTCTATAAAGTCCCTTTAAGCCAAGGGCTATATAATTAGTCATACTGATACACCTAGTGAGACTTTACATCAGATCTCACGAAGTGTGTTTCCACCAGTATATGGGACTTTTTTGAACAAGTGAAATCGCACCTCCTTTTAGTAAATAGTGCCAAGGTCTACATGATTTTCTATGAAGCACTTTCAATTGGAAGTCTTAACTAACTGGCATTGCGGTAATGTTATGGCAGTTAGTGAATAGCATTGTTAGCACAACTTTGCTGCGATGACAATTAAATCGGTCAGCGTAACAATGTTTTTGGATATAGGTAAGAGCGACAGTTATACTTTAAGAAAATGAACTTTAGTGTTACCAAAATAATATAACTGTGGCTTGGACTGCTACTAAAATACACATCGCATCGTTAATTACTGGTTGATTGATTGGTGGCCCAATCAGACAGAAGCAAGTAGATCTTTAGAACACGGATTGCAAAGGGTTTTATGTAGCGTCTAAGCTAGCTAGTTCAGCGCACACTGAGGTTTTAAGATGTATGACTATTATACCATACAGTTTACTTTAATATTCTCCTTCAAGGTAGTTTGTAAAACACAGACTAATATAAACGCGCTAATTTATTGAAACGGCTGTCATATTTAACAGTTCATATTGCCAGGGAAATGTTTCGTTCACAAATCACTTGTCGGCAAATAAAAACACATATCACAATTCATTACACGATCTTTATGTATTTGTTCTTATTAGCTCATATGATGTACATTTGGCTGAGGAATGTAAATCTGATTCCTCCACGCTTATTATTTATCTGGCTTAATTTAAAATCTAAGTAAAGCTTTCTATTTTCCCAATAGGAAATTCTGAGATCATACACGTGTGAGTTATGATTTTTACCTCCAAAACCATGCATAATTGCCTTTACTGTTAGTCTGCACTAGACATGTAGGTGAAATGGCAATTAATAAAATACCCTATTAGTCCTCCAGGCAGGTAAAGAAGTGGAATTCCTTTGATGTTGTTTTGTACTGTTTGTGCATTTAATTGCATGAGTTGATTATTTACTATTTTGTCATTTATTGCCAGCTCCTATTTGCACATAATTTCTTTTGACAAACTATTATAATATTGTAGTGCGTGTCTTATCTGGAAATGCAGAGAGAAGTTTGTTAAATTAGTGTTTTCATCTTCCTTCATAAATAAAATACGTAAGAATTCTATAAGCGTTTCGTTTTTCCATAGTTACAAAGTTATTTTTTTTTTTTTACAATCTTTATTGAATACTGCTTTCTTACCTATACAGAAAAGAATAAGGAAAAAAGAACAGTTGATCAAAAACAAAAATGAAAAAGAACAACATAATTACTTTGTCAAATACAAATAAGTCTGGGTTAATAACAAATCCTTATTCAGGGTTTAATGAATTTTATAAATTAAAAAAGAGATACGTTAAAATGTATTTTTTTAAATGTACAAGGTTTATTACCTAGACCATAGATTAAAATATCTGACATTATAAATTAGTTGCTTTAGCCCAAAGGTAGCCTATTTTATATCATAATACTCTCCACTAGGAAGAGGAGGAACAAAAAAAAAAAAAAAGGAAACCCCAAGAAAAAGGTGTGTCCCCTGAATCTGCGTTTTATCTCATAATCACAAAGTTATTTTTAAGGTTGCTATTTTAAGGTGTTTAAGAGATATGGATCCTTTAAAAAGAAAGAAACAGTCCATTGATCCTATTAAAAAAAAAATCAATGAAATTTTTTTTGGGATTTATATCCTGCCGCTGTGTAGTCCTCAGTTCTAAAATACCTTAATATTATTATTAGCTGAAAGAAACAACTTCCTTTTTGTTCAGAATTCCATTTGACCTCAGTTACTATTTACTAACCACATTTTGCATAATACGCAGAACATTCTCAATTACACTCTTTGTGCCTGTCAATATATTGTTAAGCTCTACCAGGATTATTTAATGCTACCATTCGCTTAAATAGCCTACAAAACTGTCTGGATAAGCTCAAACCAATATATCAATGTGTAATAATAATAAAGTGCAGATTATCTGCTATATTATAAAATGTAATTATAATATATAGTGCTTATACAGTAGAACCATAAAATATAGTGTTTATAGTACAGTTAAGTTTTGATTTATAGCGATAATCTGTACATTTCTAACTCGCCTGAATAAAGGATATTTAAACATACTTCCTCCACTATAGCGAATACTCCTGAAGAATTGAAATATTGTGAAACGCATTGGGCTTATCTTTTACATGATCAATGAAGTCAGATCTCAATTATATGACATCTTGAAGAGACTTTGAACTTGGCAGTGAATAAAGTACATTTTATCTGCTTTTATTGAAGTTATATTACAACTGTAGATTGCCTTTACATGAACTCCAATTTATTTTGGAGCCACAACCGTGAGTGTGTTATTTATCTTTAATAAAAAAATATTTTATGATAACCACAGCTGGCTGTGTAGTTTTAAGGTATACGTTTGGTAAAACCCATAATCCCGTCCACAAAATATTGAGACAGACACATAGATCTAATTGAACCTTTACTCTAGTCCAGTGGTAGGCAACCGTTGGCACTACAGATGTTGTGGACTATATTTCACATAATACCCTTACAGCCATAATGCTGGCAGAGCATTGGGGATATGTAGTCCATAACAACATCTGTTGTGTCAAAGGTTGCATACCCCTGTCCTCATCAATGTTTGTTAGTGCATTTCTTGTTTTGTTTGTTTTCTGTCCTGTTTTTGCCATTCCCCTAAACAGCAATTCAGCTAAACACATGACAATATAGTCTTCCATGATAATGTTTGTAAACTGTCACAGTCTCCAAGTTTGATAAGTTATTTGGCTCTATTGTCTGTCATTGCTTTTAATGCCAAGATACACTGTATTTAATTCCAAAATCAATTAGCAACTTTACATTTTTAAAAAAAAAAGATATTGCAGTTGCTTTATGTTATCATAAAATTTTTAACTATAGTGTAACCAATCTTAACTATAAATATGCAAGCTCATTAAGAAGCTCAAAAATATGTCAGTACAAAGTTTAATCTCTAAATCACATCAATCACTGGAAGTAGCCATTTCTCCCAAGCTTACATGTGCTTCATCTGTTTCTTTAACCAAACTCTATGATTTCAATTGGGTTAAGGTCTGAACTTTGACTGGGCAATTGCAACACTTTGATTATTTTATTTTTTTAGCCATTATGTTGATTTGCTGGTGTACTTGGGGATATTGTTCTGCTGCATGACCCAATATTGGCCAAGCTTTAGCTGTCAGACAGATGGCCTAATATTTGACTCTAGAACACTTTTCTATGTAGAGGAGTTCAGGGTTGACTCAATGACTGCAAGTTTGCCAGATTCTGTGGCTGCAAAACAAGCCCAAATCATCACCAAACACCATCATGCTTGACAGTTGGTATGAGTTGTTTGTGCTGCTATGCTGTGTTTGGTTTTCACCAAACGTGACCCTGTGCATTATGGCCAAACATATCCATTTTAGTCTTGGCTGTCAATGACATTGTTCCAGAAGTTATGCGGTTCATTAAATGGACACTCCAGGCACCCAGACCACTACTGCCCATAGGAGTGGTCTGGGTGCCAACTCCCACCATCCTTAACCCTGCAAGTGTAATCATTGCAGTTTTTAAAAGGGCTAAGTCCTTCTCTAGTGGCTGTCTATCATGAGGACCTCCAGCGTTGCCGAAATCCCTATAGGAAAGCATTGAATAATGCTTTCCTATGAGGAGGTCTAATGCGCATGCACAGAGCTGGATTCAGGTAAGTCACTAAAGGGGTTTTAACCCCTTCAGCAACATGGTATAGGGGGTGGGAGGGAGAGAGACACTGCAGAGTTTTCCTGGCACTGGAGAGTCCCTTTAAGATGCAACTTTGCAAACTAAGCCATGCGGCCAAGTTATTTTTACAGAGAGTGGCTTTCTCCTGGCAACTATTCCAGACAAACCATACTTGTTCAGTCTTTTTCTAATTGTAGTGTCATGAACGTTAACATTTAAGTATGAGTATGAGATGTAACTCTTGTTTTTTTTG